GCATTTAAGAGGTCATCCGTCGATATCCCATTCGAACAGATGGAGAAACCAGAGAGGTTATGAGAGCTGGCCCAGACACAGAAAATTGGTGGCAGGCAGGACCTGAGCACAGGTGCCCTAGGCTAAGTCAGGGGTCTCTCTCATCCTTTCCCATATACTGTTCTAGAATCTTTTTGTTGTTGTTGTCGTCCTTTTTTTTGGGGGGGCCGCACTGTGTGGTTTGCGGGATCTTAGTTCCCCAACCAGGGATCGAACCCGGGCCCTCGGCAGTGAGAGCGTGGAGCCCTAATCACTGGACCGCCAGGGAATTCCCCCCATGTACTGTTCTAAATCAAGGGTCAGCAAACTTCGTCTATGAACAGTGAGTATAAATGTTATAGGCTGGGCTTCCCTGGTGGCGCAGTGGTTGAGAGTCCGCCTGCCGATGCAGGGGACACGGGTTCGTGCCCCGATCCGAGAAGATCCCACATGCTGCGGAGCGGCTGGGCCCGTGAACCGCGGCTGCTGAGCCTGCGCGTCCAGAGCCTGTGCTCCACAATGGGAGAGGCCACAACAGTGAGAGGCCCACGTACCGCAAAAAAAAAAAAAAAAAAAAAAGTTATAGGCTTTGTGGGCTATACCACCTCTGTTACAACTACTCAACTCTACCATCGTTGCACCAAAGTGGCCACAGAGAACATGTAGGCCAACAGAGTTTGGCTGTATTCCTCATTTATAAGAAACAAAATTTGATTTTCATATAATTTCACATCATGAAACAGTATTCTTTTGATTCTCTGAAACTCACCTAAAAAAAATTCTTAATTCACAGACTATACACATACAAGTCGTGGGCCATATCTATATTTTTGCTAGTTTGCAAATTTGGTTTGTTGACCCCTGGTATGAATCCTGAAAATAACAGAAAGAATGTCTGTATTGGGGATGATAACATACTGCTTGATGCCTTCCATTCCTCACCCTTTGACCAGGGCAGACATTGCAAATGGATCAGAGCACTATCTCTTGAGCCCTGATAGCCTCAGGCAGGCAGAAGCAATCAACTGAAGATAGTACTCAAGACAGATCCTAGTTGCCTCCTCCCCAGTCCCTCAGCCCCCCTCTCCTTCCTAGAGTGCAGTTCAGACCCTCTTCCCATGACACCTCTTGATAACATCTTCTCACCCTGGGACTATTTTCTCTTTTGACTCTTAGTGAACTGAGCCAGCAAGGGTCCTGGATATGAGGTCACGATTTTAAAAATTGACTTAGCAGCAGAACATTTATCTGAAACAGAATCTCAGATTATGTGTATGTACACCATTCATGAAATTTGAAAATGATACAATGAAACACATTAAAGAGGTATTAGTACAAAATTACTTTCCAGGTTCAATTTTTTGACCCATTACAAAGTCAAGGATATCTGGAGAATTAGGAAAGTGAGAAGTCTGGGGCAGATCCACTTACAAATATTTACTAAGAGCCTCCACCTGCCAGGCATCCACCCTTAAAAGATCAATCTCAGTGTCAGATTTATGGCTGTGTGGTACAGAAAAACTCCTGACTCATGCACGAGTGAAAGGAAATGATATTCACCAAGGAACCTGCCAACAAGGAAGGTCTGTAGGCTGCCTGCCCTGCACTCTTAGCACACTCTTCCAACAAAGAGGGAGGGTGGGGAAGCTTTACTGCAGGGTCCACATGCTGAGGGCTGGACTGGCTGTAGGTCACAAAGCTGATTAAGAATCTCATGAGCCAAAATTTCTAATGAACTGATTATTTTACAGAAGCCAATGACACACCTGGGGGCTCATGTTTCTTAATACAGTTCAATGATGAAATCCAAATCTCATTTTAAAGAAAACCTGACCACCCCACCCCCACCCCCGCTAAGCTGGATTTGAAACCACTTAGTGTGAAACCCTCATTCTGGAGAAGAGGGTCACACGGCAAGCAGCAGAAGCCGGATCATAATCCAGCCTGGCTCTCAGGGGTGGCATCTACTCCAAGTGTACGTTCCAGCTTCCCCAGGCTGACCTGAACGCCACGAGAGCCAGTGCTGTGCTCTGCCGTGGCAGCTGCTCAGGGACGTTAGCTGCGGGTGACGAGCACCGTTCATGGCACTTCACAGAACATTTCTCAGGACCAGGGAGAAGATGAAAATGAGAGGCACAGCAAGCCCAGGAGCTGTGGCCAGGGGTGGGCGGAGCTGGTCATGTGAGTGCAGGGAGGCCCAAGGCCACTCTGCAGGGCTGAGTGACCTCGGTCTTGAGGAGCGTGCTTCCTGTTTGGAGCCCCCACGTTACCATCCGCTCTGAGCACCGAGCGGCGCCAAGGCAGAGTAGGCCTCAAGCTCCTTCTCAGGTGGCAGGGTCTGCAGGATGGCCACCCTGGGAGCTACGGGTGCTGGGGATCCCTGGACTGCCGGGACCAAGGGGCTGCGGTGTGTCTGGGGGTCGGCGGGTGGGGAAACCGTGCTGCCACCGTCCGGGACCCACAGACCCACTTCCACACCTCTCTGGAGGCCCCCGCAGACACTCTCTCTTCCCTCCTCCTAAATTTTAATCTTAGTTAAATTACATTTTTAATTTAGTTTCTGAGTTTCACCTCAGAAGTTTGACACTTCTCTATCTGCCTTTCAATCCTTTTATCTAGCTGTCTCCTGGCTTCCTTTTAAATTTTACCTGTGTTTTGGTAATTTCTCATTTATTTGACCTTGACTTTGGACCTTTTTATTCATCCTTTCCCCCTCATTTGTTTTCCCCGATTGTCTGGAATTTTCCATTTTACACCTCCTGCCTTACCTGTTTATCCTATTCTACTGATATTTTCACGAATGTTCCTCTACTGCTTCCTGAGTACAGAAGAAGCACATGCCTGCTGAAATGCACTGAGCACTTCACAGGGTCTCACAGGGGATTCCGAGGTGGGCAGAGGGACGGGAGGGGCAGGCTGCCACCTGCTCACCCAAATCTACTTGTTTCTGGAGTCCAGGTATCTATCTGTACCTGTCCTATTTTAAGCTTTTATGTAATTCTACTTTTAAGACCCTTAAAATTAGAACCCTGTTTTTCGTTGTTGTTTTGGCGTGCTCTGTCTCCACCATGGCGATTAGCAGCAGGGAGTGAAGCAGGGGGATGGAATCGGCTTGACTAACTGGGCAGGTGGGGCTTCTTCCCGCAAATTCCGTGGCAGGCTCAGAACCTCAGCACGGCTCAGCGAGGCCACCTGGGCTAAGCCTCCCGTGGCTTTGAGCCCCACTCGGCTAGCAGCCTGGCCTGTGCCCACGCTCAGGCGGGCCCGGGGATTAATAATGGGGATCAGCACTGTTCTCAAGACATCTCACCTCGGCGCCTCTCACGCCAGGCTCTGGACTCGGGGCTGAGCAGACAGCGCTGACCCCACAGGCGGAGGGCCGCCTCTTGCCCTGCAGTGCCCATTCCAAGCTTGGGCTCCCGATGAAGGGCCAGCGCACCCTTCCAAAGGCCGAGGCAGGAGAAGCCTGAGGCCTCCCTGCCCCGTCAGGAAAGGGCTCCCAGACCCGCCCACCCTCCACCCTCTCCCTTCTCCCCAGAGGCCTGTTCTGAAGGGCCTGCAGCCAACCGGGGTGCCCTCTCCTAGAGAATGTTTCTGCCTGACAACCTGCCCTGGAGCCTGTTACACTGCCCCGGTTTTTCTTGCCAATCAAAGCACAACCTTGCAACTGAAGAGCCACCTGCTTTTTGATTCTAATCAAGGTGATGATGCAGGGCTCCTGCAAGGGCAGAGGGCAAGTGCTGATGGGGTTGGGGCAGTGGCCACCAGGCCTGGCTGAAGCTGCCACCGTGGATGTGGTGGGGCCCTTCGTCACCCACAGTGGATCTGGCATTGATCCCAGGTCTCTGTGACACTCAAACCCTATGGTCCTTACAGGGCTGCTGCCTCCTGGTAAGAGGACAGGAGAAGGGGACCCAGAGGGTCCACCTAGTGGGGCTTAGCCCTGGGAGGCTTAGCCTGGGCGGCCTGTACACAACACCAACTTTCTGAACCATCTGGAAATAACTTATGAGTATCTCCTAAAAACAAAGATGTTCTCTTCCACGACCCAGGCTCGATGATCAAATTCAGGCAGCTTGGTGCCGATGGGCCTCCACTGTCCAACGCACAGTCTTTACAGCAGTGACAACTCTGCCCTGTAGCAGTTAACGGTCAAGCTCTACACATCAGCCAGCAGGGCACACAGAAGGGGCTCTGTGGGGTCCTCTGGAGCCTGCCCCCTGAGGTGGCGCCTTCCAGAAGATGCACTTCTCTGAAGCCATCCTAAAGGCACCACGGGATGCGCCCTGGAGCACACACCTGCTGACTGGCACTTGGAGACGGTGCCTAAATGCCTCGGCCACCAGCTGCTGAATCCCTCCGAAGGACCAGGGAAGAAGACAGCCACCGGCAGCACACGCAGCTCCGCGACAAATCCCAACCTGACCCTGCAGCCTAACTTATTGGCGCGCTTAGATATTTTAAAGTGAAAATCCCTACTTCCAGCTTAATTCCTTAATTCTGGTTTCACTTCTGGCTGTTAACCCGAGGGTTCCTCTGTGCAGTTGCGAGATTTCCAACCACCAAGGAGGAGGCACCCTGCGAGGCCCTGCGTGCGGGATTGGCCTCCGGGCCCCTGCATGCGCAGTTCCTTGGCCTGTGATGCTCCTTCCCTCCTCTTCCCTGGTGGGCCCCTGCTTTTCCTCAGGCTCTGCTTATGTGGCACTCCTCCCGGAGGCCATGCTGGACCCCAAGGTTGCCTGTGCCAGCCCTCAGTTGCGTTAAACTGCAGACTCTTCCAGCGTTTTCCCACTGTGACCCCACGGAAGGACATGTATTTTCACCACCACCCAGCAGAGGGTCGCAGCTGCGAAGGCTAGAGACCTCACAACTCGAGGGAGGGCCGCTCACAGGGTGCACTGGGGCCTCGGGAGGGGTGGGCCTGGCAGCCCTGAATCTGAACACACATGAAAGACGCAAAAGCTTCCAAATCAGGACATTACCTGCGTGCAGGTCAGGATGTACATGCAAAGGTTCTATCAAACACGACGGCACTGGTATTTTAACACCACTGGGGCGGGGGGTGGGGGGGTAGGGATCTTGAAATCAACACTCAGTAGCAACATTTGGAGTGGTGCAAATTGGGGGCGGGGCGGCCCTGCTCAGACTCAGCAGCAGAGGCATGGCCGAGCCGCTTCTCTCTGGAGTCACTGCTTTGAGGTGCAACCCCACTCCCACCACGGTCACTGGGGGCAGGAAGAGCAGCGCCATGGCCCCTGCTCAGCAAGGCAGGCTCCCCACTCTGAATCCAAACGCTGGCGATGTCCTGTAATCATTCTTTGGTGTCCAGGAAGAACCAAGCTGTAACAATAAGTTCTCTCCTCAGGATCCACATTTAACTCAAGTACAGAGTTTAGCTAATCACAGGGTTCTAGAAAGCAAATGTGATTTTTAAATCCAAAGTTTCATTTTCTCTTCTGGAAAGGAGCAATCGGAAGTCTGAGACAAGAAAGTGCACGTCAAGCTACCTCTGGTTTTGTTCCAATCCTGTTCTCCTTGGCGTGGTGGCCAGTCCCTCAGAACCTTCCAGGTACGTGACAGCTGTGTCATAAAGAATTTAACCTGGCCCAAAGAAAGGTCTGGCCTTTGCCCTTGGCTCCTGGGAGGCCATGTCTCTGTCCTTGAATGTCCCGCCTGGTGGGGTACCTTTGTTTAGCTGGGGGCCTCTGGCACAGTCTAAGTGTGATTCCAGGCAGGGGCGTCGGGTCAAGCAGCATCGGTTCAACCACAGAGGGACTGGAGACTGGGCAGCCACGTGGGAGGTCGGCCGGGTATACTGACCAAGTTCAAGGCTAGACACCAAGGCTTCCCAGACTGGCAATGCTCTGTGTGCATCTTCTCGTAATGTTGCCAGGAAAGTCACTGTGGCCGGCGATTCCACGGGGAGGACGCTGCTCCCTGCGCCTCTCCCCTCGGCTGGTTTTAATCTGTGTCCTTTCGCTGTAATAAACCATAACTGTGAGTACACCAGCTTTCAGAGAGTGCTGAGAGTCCTTCTAGGGAAATTATCGAGACTGAGGGTGGTCTTGGGGACCCTGAACTCTGCAGTTGTTGTCAGAAGACAGGGTGGTCTATAGACTGTGCCTAACCCTACAGCTGCATGAACCATATTGTAGTTTTCCCCATGGTTTCAAATTCTTATGTTTTGATAAGAACGTCAAAAATGTCCATTAAGTAGGTCAAGTTTGTACCCAAACATCATCTCTGAAAGCATCTTCCATGAAGTAACGTTTCAACCAGGATGACGTGACTATTTTCCTGAGTTTATGTGCCTTGTTTGATCTCTTCCTGTGTGGCCACCAGCAAACCAGCGAGTGGAAGGCCCTGCTCCAACTGAGAACCAAATGTTTCTCAAAGCCAGCGTGTAGGAGGCTTCCTGGAATGGTCATATTCTCCGTCCCACTTGTAACTCCTCTGCAGTTCTCCCCAGTCTAATGTCGAACTCCCCGTCCAGTGGGGCCATTGTTCCAGGAGGACGTGAGGTTAAGCATACGCCATGCTTCAAGCCCTCCCCGGAGGCACCACCACGTGGGTCTGACAGACCTGGGAGCTCAGCTCTGTGACTGCAGTGTCAGGGCTCTCATCAGGCTGGATCTCAGAATCCCTACCAGGATCTTGGTGTCCTGACATAGGCCAGTCTTGACAAGATGTCACTGAACCCTAAAAGCTAGTTTTAATTCATTGCCCGATTTATCACCCAATCTTGCATGGGCCTGGGAGAACAGCTATTTGCAGCAGCCAGGGGAGCCAGCTTCTCTTCTGTCACGTGATCTTCAGCTAAGCACAGTGCCTTTTCTCTAAGTCATAGGATGACTAAGAAAGTGGACTGACACTTGACATATTTTTAGTTTGAAAATATCCAAGGCCTTATCGAGTGCAGGGTGCCGATTTCAAGTGTCTACTATTTTTAAACCGAGGTGTAACCTACTACAGGAAAGTCCGCACATCTTTATCTTAGGTGTACAGCCTGGCGAAGGTTTTCATGTGCAGACCAAGACCCCAACGTCCCAGAAGGCTCCCTGGCGTCCCGTCCCTGTCAATTCCAACTTGAGGTAACCACTGATCCATGCTCATCACCGTCGGTCAGCTTAACTTCCTATAACTGGAAGCATACAATACGTACTTTTCTGTGTCTGGCTTCTCTCACTCAACAGAGTGTAAGATTCTCCCAGGGAGTGGTAGCTTGTCTGTTCTCGTGGCTGTTAGAATTCTGTTCTTCGACTAGGCCGCTCTGGACGTGTTCTCCTGTGGGTGGACACTGGGCTGTTTCCTTTAGGGGAGTCGTGATCAAAGCTGCTATGGATGCACCTGTACATGTCTTCTGGTGGATGTATGCATTCAGGACTAGGACGGGAGTGGCTGGGTCAGAAGCTTCATCTGTGTGTCGAGCTTCAGAAGATACTGCCCAGAGCCACATGCTCCCATGAGCAGGGTGTGAGGTGCTACTGCTCCACGTCCTTGGTGGTACTAAAAGGAACTTTAACACTTCTGGTGTGTGTGAGGAGGCACCTCACGCTCATTTTATTGTGCACTTCCTTCTTGTTATGACGTCGATGTGGCGATCCCGAGCACCTTTTCACACGTTGATTGGTCACTGGGGTATCTTCTTCTGGGAGGTGTCTGTTCATGCCTTTTGCCCATTTTAAAATTGAATTTTCTTTTCCTAGTCTGTGGCAATTTTCACCATCTTCATGAGGGTGTCCTTCGATGAACAAATGTTCTTAATTTGAGTGAAGTCTAACTTGTGAGTCTTTTATGGCCAGTGGCGTTTCTGTCCTACTGAAGAAGTCTATGCCTCCTTTAAAGACATGAAAATTTTTTCCCATGTTGTACCTTTCACATTTATGGGTTTTTAAAAAAAGATTTATTGAAATATAGTTGATTTACATCACGTTTATGTCTGTAATCCATTTCAAATTAATATATGTGTATGGCGTGAGGAGGGGTCAATATTCGTCTTCTCCGTATGGATGGATATCCCAGTGATCAGCATGACTTTTTGGAAAGTCCATCCTTCCCCACTGACCTTCAAGGGTCTTCTTCATTTTGACAATGTTAAGGTTCCCTTGCAAGAATACTATTAGGAAGAAAACATCAGGGTCTATTATTTTCATTGGATTTTTGCACATTCCATATTACAAATAATTGTTGGTCTACTTTTTTCTTTGTGGAATTGGCCTCAAAGGTGAAGTTTGCAAATGAGTTCAATATTTTGTTCTCAATACTGACACAAGGAACTTCCCTTGTGGCGCAATGGTTAAGAATCCGCCTGCCAATGCAGGGGACACGGGTTTGAGCGCTGGTCGGGGAAGATCCCACATGCCGTGGAGCGACTAAGCCCATGTGCCACAACTACTGAGCCTGTGCTCTAGAGCCTGCGAGCCACAACTACTGAAGCCCGTGTGCAGCCAAAAATAAAATTAATTAATTTAAAAAACCCCAATATACACCTAAAAAAACCCAAAAAAACACTGACACAAAATGTAACATTTTTAGGCCTAGCAGTTGAACTTAAATATGCCTCTTTTCCACTTCATCATTTGTTTCTCTTCCAATAATAAAGAATTCTTTTTAAAGAGCAATTTGTATCCTTTTTTGGGTACTATAACCATCACCACCCCCTGAAATCACAGGCTTGGTAACAGTTTCTCCAAATGATACACCATGGGCTCATGCCTTGACACTATTCCCTCAGACAGATTAAATTCTCCCCTACTTTGCTTGTGACTGACTGCAGAGCATTACTATGAATTCAAGTCGTAAAACCCTCCCGTTACGGGGACAGCCTCATCGATCTGCATATAGCAGAAAGTGGAACAAGACACTGGGGGGGGGGGCGCGGAAGGATGCCCCTGGCTGCCCTGTGCAGCTCCACACGACCCACCCTGCGCTGGCAGGATGGGCACAAGTCTCCTAGGAGGGCCGCGGGAGAGCCATTGTTTTCTTCTTCTTACTTACGTAGTACTCATGATCCACAAATGGATCTACAAAGCAGAAAGCATGCATTGTCCTGTGGTTGGCGTGTCTGTGAGGGCAGGGGCCCCAGTGCCTAGGGGGAGCCTGGTCTATGTCTTCTCCACAAGCGGCTGACCTGTGATGGCCCAGGGAGACCATAGCCAGGCAGGGTGGGGGACTGTCTACAGAAGGAAAACCACTGGCTCTCTGCTCCAGCCACAGGCACCTCCTCACCACGGTCCACCAGCCACGTGATCGGCCTCCATCACAGCACAGACGCCCTTCTCCCACACTCACCCTGCCACTGGCCTCGAACCCGCCGGCCACCTCCTGGACCCCTTGTCCCCAGACCTGCCCTCCTCAGGGCCCCTCTTGAACGTCGCCTCCCCTGCCCTCTCACCATGGCTGACGCTGCCTGTCTCCCCTCTTCCAGGACGTTAATGTCACGTCCCACGAGGACAGAGGCTCCGAGACAGAGATTCGACCTGAGTTTGTGGAGTGACTGCCCGGGCAGCGGGCTCGCCGGCCCCTCCCAGAGGCCCCTGCCCGCCCGCCCCGCCCCCCGCTTACCTGTCCTTGTACTTGATCACAGCATCCACGATCTTCTTCATCTTCTTGGTGAGGTTGGGCGGGTTGGGGGAGAGCTTCTCGGCAGGCGGCCGGCCACGCTTCTTCTGCTTCTTGCTCTCGTCGTCCTTGTCGCGGCTGCGGGTGCTGGTGGTCGGGGTGGAGGGGCCGGCATCGCTGTCCCTCTTGCGCTTCCGCGACGATTTCTTCTGCCGGACCTCCTCTTCGATCTCCTCCAGCGTGCCCTCCTCGATGGCCTTCAGGGTCAATAGTGGTAAAAATAGGACAGCCAGCACCGAGGTCGACAAGCAGAGGCCGCGGCGCAAACCCGGGGGCCTGCCTGGGGCGGGACGCATGCTGGGGCTCTGGATGGGCTCCGAGGGCACGGGGGCCGTGAGGGCCAGCTCTGTCTCCCCGATGCCAGCCCACCCAAGCCCGTTCTTCGCAGATAAATGGCGTATGTTACAAATTTAAGTGTCACAGCCTCACTGTGCGAAGCCTGAAGAGTGGGCTCCTGCAAACCCTCCACCCAGAGGTGACCCCGTCAACACTTCTGCTCTAGACCATGTTCCATGTTTTTAAAAAACTGTAGTAAGATACACATAACATAAAGTCAGCCGCTTCAAACACTGTCAAGTATGCAGTTCAGTGGCACTGGGAACGCTCCTGCTGTGCAGTCGTCCCCACCCTCCACCTGTAGGATGTCCCACCTTCCCACGCACATGTGCACAATCGAGGCAGCACCGGGATCGAGCCACATACCACATCACGACTCATCTTTTTGCTTATTATGTCCTGGATATACTTCCTCTCGTTTTTCTGCAACATAATTTTTAATGCCTATTTAATAGTATTTCCTTGTAAAATGGGCCTTAACTTAACTTCCTCTGTAGTTGGGCATTTAGGTTCTTTCCAGTTTTGCAAGAATGGGTGGGTGGGCTATTCTAAGTACTGTCATAACTGACATTTGTCTTTCTTTTAGATAGATTCCTGAAAGTGAAACCGCTGGGTTGAAGAACACGAACCTGAGTGTTAACTTTAAAATAGTTCCGATGTATAAATTCTCAACGATAATAACTAACTTGCATGTTTTAGCCGTGAACACAAAGTGATGGGAAGCCAGGTTTCTACGGGGGCTTGGAATCAGAAACGGGAGTGGGGCCTGGACCCAAACGGATGCACTGGTTATTCATCACAGTTACCAGCTGCACCTGAGTGCAGGTACAGGGCCAGGCACTGAACACAGCCCCTCATGGAGGGGAGACAGTAATACACAGCCCACAGACATGGTGACAAGTGTGCTGAGTGCCAAGAAGGAGGGTAAGAGGTGCTCTGAGAATGGTGGAGCAGATGTGTCCTGTCAGGGTTTGGGAGAGCTTCCCAGAGGTGGGCACTTAAGATCTGAAGGGTCAGGGTGGTGGAAGGAGGCATCCACCATCCATGTCATCTTATGGGGTAATAGGGTTTTTGCAGATGTAATAGGTTAAGAATAGAGATAAGATCATACTACATTAGCATGGGCCCAAATCCAAGGAGTCAGAAAAGGCCGTAAGAGAGACACTGCGGACATCCATGTGAAGGCGGAGGCAGAGACTGGAGTGACGTGGCCACAAGCCAAGGAATACTGGGGCCACCGAAAGCTGGAAGAGGCAAGGAAGCAGCCTTCAGAGGGAACATGGTCCTGCTGACACATAGATTTCAGACTCCTAGCCTCCAGAACTGTGAGAGAATAAATTCCTATTGTGTTAAGCCACCAAGTTTGTGGTAATTGTTACAGCAGTCCCAGGAATCTAATACTGGGGTCTCTGGTCCTGTGCCCTAGACATGCAGGTCAGCCCAGAAGGGCAAGAGCCAAGTACATTCTACAGGGTTTGGGTACATATGGCATCAGAGTGGCTGCCAGAGAAGTGGTGCGAATTACATGTCCACCACTAAGACAGAGGAGTGCCTGATTTGGGTAAATATCTCTTTTATTAATGTAAATTTTATTCAGTATGATATATTAAAAAAATGGCATGTGCTCAAATGGGAAAGAATAGACTTTTCAACAATGGTGCTGGGACAACCAGATAGCCACATGCAAAAGAATGAAGTTGGACCCTGACCTCACGCCATACGCAAAAATTAACTCAAAAACGATTAACGGTGGACTTCCCTGGTGGCGCAGTGGTTAAGATCCTCTTGCCAGTGCAGGGGACATGGGTTTGAGCCCTGGCCCGGGAAGATCCCACATGCCACGGAGCAACTAAGCCCGCGCACCACAATTACTGAGCCTGCGCTCTAGAGCCCAGGAGCCACAACTACTGAGCCTGTGTGCCACAACTACCGAAGCCCGCATGCCTAGAGCCCATGCTCCGCAACAGAGAAGCCACCGCAATGAGAAGCCCGCGCACCGTGATGAAGAGTAGCCCCCGCTCGCCGCAACTAGAGAAAGCCCGTGAGCAGCAATGAAGACCCAACACAGCCAAAAATAAATAAATAATTTTTTTTAAAAAAAAAGAAGAAAAGAAAAAAAAGGATCACGGACCTACATGTAAGAGCTGAGACTCTAAAACTCTTGAAAGGAAACACAGGGGTAAATCTTTGTGACCATCAATTGGCAATGGATTCTCAGGCATGCTACCAAGGCACAGGCGAAAAGAGACAAACAAATAAATTTGACTTCATCAAAATTTTATAATTCTGTGCTTCAAAGAACAGTATCAAGAAAGTGAAAAACAGGGGCTTCCCTGGTGGTGCAGTGGTTAAGAATCCACCTGCCGATGCGGGGGACACAGGTTCGAGCCCTGGTTTGGGAAGATCCCACATGCCACGGAGCAACTAAGTCCGTGCGCCACAACTACTAAGCCTGAGCTCTAAAGCCCGCGAGCCATGACTACTGAGCCCGTGAGACACAACTACTGAAGCCCACGCACCTAGAGCCCGTGCTCTGCAACAAGAGAAGCCACTGCAATGAGAAGCCCACGCACCGCAAGGAAGAGTGGTCCCCACTCACTGCAACTAGAGAAAGCCTGCGCGCAGCAACAAAGACCCGATGCAGCCAAAAGCAATGAATAAATAAAATAAATAAAATTTAAAAATATGTAAAAAAAAAGTGAAAAGCAAAGACAAAAACCACCCCACGGAATAGGAGAAAATATTTGCAAATCATATATCTGATAAAAGACTTTAAAGAAGATCTACAAATGGCCAAAAAGTATGTGAAAAGGTGCCCAACACCATTAGCGCCACCACCACCCTCCCACCCCACCGGAAGCAATTCAAAACCACAATAAGATACCACTGCACACCCACTAGGATGGCTAGAATCAAAAGGCAAATAGAAAGTTATCAGCGAGGACCTGGAGAAACTGGAACCCTTCTGTGCTGCTGGTGGGAATGTAAAATAGTGCAGCCACTTTGGAAAACAGTTTTCGTTCCTCAAAAGGTTAAACAGAGAATTACCATTTGATCCACTCCTAGATACACACCCCAGAGAAATCAAAACATATGTCCTCACAAAACCTGTACACAAATGTTCACCACCGCATTATGCACAATAGCTAAAAAGTGGAAACAACCCCACGGTCCATCAACTAATGACTAGATAAACAAGTGTTGTATATTCTTATAATGGAACATTATCCAACCATGAAAAGAATGAAGTCCTGATATATGCTAGAACCTGGATGAATCTTGAAAATATTTTGCTAAGTGAAGAAACCCAGACATCAAAGGATCACATAATGCATGATTTCATTTATAGAAAATTTCCTGTTTAGGCAAAATTATTGAAACAGAGAAGTTGTTTAGCGGATGTCAAAGGCTAGGGGGAATAAAGGGATGGGAAGATAGCTAAAGAGAAAACAGTTTCTTTGGGGTGAGAATGTACTAAGCTTCATTTGTGGTGATAGTTTCAGAACTCTGTGAATATACCAAAAATCACTGAACTGTACATCTTACACGGGTAAAGTTATTCCTCAAAGAAAGGGAGGAGGGAGAAAGAAATGCGCACCGACTATCATCATTAGCGTGTGGGCAGCTGTTTTTTAAAGGGCACCCATTGTCTCAGTAATGCCGGGCTGGCAAAGGCCCCACGCGAGCCGCTCGGGACTGTGGTTGGTACGACGTTCCTTCATCCAAGGTTCTCTTCTGGGCCCTGGAGCCCTGGGCTGACGGCAGGGAATGAGACACACACACGCCCCCAGCCCACCCGAGGTTCGGTGGTTCCTGGCATGTTTCAACAACTCCCTCTGGTGCACAGCTCAGTGGGCGAGCTCGCAAGTCTGGGGTGTTCTGAGCTCCCAGGAGGGGACCAGGGCCACCTGGCCACATGGCTGAAAAAGCACTGGGGCTGCAGTTACTTAAGGGGAACCCCAGGGTGTGTGATAAGAGGCCTGGGGAGACAGCTGCTCATTCCAGGGTGTGACACTCAGCAGGGCGTAACCGAAAGCCGCCATCTGCCTTTCAGGAAGTGTTGTCTCAGGGACAACAACTCGAGGGTTGGACTCTTACTCATCACCTCTACACTCAGAACCCCTGGAGCAGGAATGGGGTCTGATTTGTCACTGTAACCCCAGTGCCAGGCCCCTGTGCAAATGTAGAGCGCCCTCGCTCGGGTGGGGGCGGGGGGCGGAAGCAGGAGGACCAGCAGCCGCCCGCAGCCCTGACTCAGCTGTCGGCAGCTGCGAGGGCCGGGAGCCACCTGCTGAAAACAGGTGCTCACATCACCTCCATGAGCAGCTGGTGCCGGGAGCCTCGGGCAGGGGCTTCCTCCCTCTTCCCTCCCCACAGCTCCCAGGGGTGACGCACGCAAAGGCGGGGCTGCCTGACCCCATCACCAATCTCAACCATTTTGCAGGGTGACTTGACGATCCCCAATATATCCCTGGGTCCTCCGGTCAGCCCCATGCAAAGACTGGCAATATTTTGCTTAAACCTGACGCTGGAAGGGCCAACTCCACCCAGAAGTGGGTTTTGAGCAGCTCGGGAACCGCACAGGGGTGCCTTCCTGAGTTCCATCAGGAGGAACTGAGTGAACCTGACCCCACGTGGGAAGGGTCGCTGTCGTGAGTGAAAACCGACCAAGAACGGCCGAAGGGTACTGCCCAGGATTCAGACGAAGGCCTCGATCCTGGCGGCCGAGCCCTGCGCTGCCCGAGCCCCACCCGCGGCCCTCTCCGGCATGTACCTTGAGCCACTGCTTCTCAGTCAGCGAGTCGCTGTAGTCCACCTCCTTGCGATGGCGGGAGCCGCGGCCGAACATCTTCTCCTCCTCCTCCTCGCATGTCAGCCGCTCCACCTCTGCGTCGTCCTTGATGATCCACGAGGGGAGCTCATCCTCCTCCATCAGGCGTGGCTTCCGCTTGGGGTTGCGGGCCTCCTCGCGCCTGCGGTCCAGGTCCATGCGCTGTGGGGTGCGGGGCGGCAGGGACAGAGGGACAGGCGTCAGCACAGAGAAGACAGAGGAGATGGCCAGTGGGCACACGCAGGGGCACCCTGACCAGGGGCTGCTTCCCTGCCTCAGGACCATCGCTGCAGCGGTAGTTAAACAGCAACTTGGTCGTGCGGTGGCTGAGCCGGCTGGGCTGCCATGTCAGACCTTGGCTGGGGCTCTGCTTCAGGGGCAGAGAGAACTGGAAAGGACAGGAAGGTGGTGGAACGGGGGCTGGAACGGGGGCTGAAACGGGGCAGCGGCTCCCCTGCCCCACTGAGGCGATACAGGCTCAGTGGAAGGCACAGGCCTGCTGGGGCCGAGGGCGCCCCCAATTCCCCCCGATTCCGTGCCCACGAGGGGCAACAGGGCATCTGAGACCGAGGCCCTCGCCAGTCCCTCAGTCTTGGACAGTGTGGCTCCCTCTGAAAGGGAGCCTCAAGGACAACAGGCACTGGCCAGACGGAGGGCCATAAACTGGAGCAGGGCTGGGCGTGTACGTGTGTCCTGCCATCCCTATGACACACTTAGGAGGCCACAGAACGAAGATGGGTCAGTTAGGAGCCACGGAGGGGCCACCCTGAGGGTTGCCCCCGGCCCCGTTACCCGCTGGGGATGCCACCGTCACTGAGACCTTTTGCTCTGTTCGGTATCAGCAGGGAAGGGGGTGGTGTGTGTGTGTGTGTGTGTGAGCTCCACTGCACATGGTTCACACAGGCGGGGAACCAAGCCCCTGAGGGTGCGCAGGGCCCGAGTGCCCGCGGCGCTCACCATGAACAGGTCGAACTCTTCCTCATGCCGGGCAATCATCTGGTTCACCGTCTCGTCGTCAGGCACCTCGTCTTCTTCCTACAAGATGTCACACGTTTAGTTGGAGTGCGGGGAGGCCGGGGTGGGAGGCGGCCGGGCTCGGAGGCGAGCGGCGGCGGTCCATGGGAAATGAGCTGGCGGTCCCAGTCCGGCTGCGGTGGATGGGGACCCACACGGCAGCGAGAGACGCACACGCACACGCACACGCACGCTCCGTGGGATCAGGGCCCTTGCTGGCCATCTCAGCCGAGAAGCCGAGGATTGAATGGGCATGGAGACTGAACTACCCCTCTCACCTTTAGAGGTGGCTCCTCCAAGTCGGGGTTGACGCCCGCTGGCGGAGGGGCAGTGTGGGCGAAGCTGGCACTGCCGCTGCCCGTGCTGCAGTGTCTGCTCTGTGGATAAATAGAGGACTTCAGTCTCCAGGGCTGTCAATCCGGCATCTTTCACCAGCAGTTTAGAAAAAAAAAACCACTTCAAAGAAAAAGCAAGTACTCATCCTCTTTCCTTTCAGCCCACACTCCCTTTACTCCAAAGGGATGCAAAAAAAATAAGAGTGCAAAAAAGGTAAAAAAACAAAAATGAAAGCCGCTCATGCGTCCACCACTCACGCCGGGGAGGGGGTCGGGGCTGGCGCTGCCCTCACCTCGTCCTGCTCCTCGTGCTCGAGGATGGCCTGGAGGAAAGCGCGCCTCTCGTGGCTGGAGGACTTCTGGTCGAACATGCCGGCCTGGATCACCTTCTGGTCGACGTTGAGCTTGTACTTGGCCGCAGCCAGGATCTTCTCTTCCACGCTGTTGACCGTGCAGAGGCGGAGCACACGCACCTCGTTCTGCTGCCCGATGCGGTGGGCACGGTCCTGCGCTTGCAGGTCCTGGGGAGAGAGATGCCGGTCAGTCCCAAACAAGCTCTTTGAATCGTTAAGGGACAGTGGATCACTGGATGCCACTGGGAAAGGCAGGGGTCTTGCAATTCTCGGGCGCCCGCCTGGCTGTTCTGCCCGCCACAGCCAGAAGCTGCACAGGCCAGAAGCTCAGGAACAAGACCTGGAGCCCGTGCCAGGATGACTTGACCCCAAATTCCTGCAGAAGCGTCACTTTCTACCTTCACTGGGATTTGACGATACTCAGGAAGAAACCGCGGTTGTAGAGGGCCACCCCAGGGGGTTATACCCCAGCAGCTCCTCTCACAGCTGCACAGGGCCCCTTGGCTGCCCCGGGCAGGGCCTGGCTTGGCGTGGCTGTATCACAGTGAGGGCACTGTTCACAGAATGACGCCAAAGCTGGGCAGCACCACGTTGATGCCTGGTTTGATTGGAGGCCCTGCCACGCGAGCCAGGCCCAGGCCCCACCTCTCGGAGCCTCAGGATCCACTCTGCTGACACCAGCCCGTCTCGTGGCTATCGTGTGTGAGAGGAGCCAACGGGCATCGGGTGCTCAGGCCAGTGCCTGGTGTGGAGCAAGCGCCCATAAAGTGGCAGGTATGGCGCCAACGCTGTATCATCACGCCCAGTGTAGACCCAGGAAGGGCTATGAGATCCTGTGTCTGGGGCCTGCAGCTGTGTGGGGCTGACCTCCAGATCTGCACCTCATGGGGGCAGCAGAGGCCACACCTGGTGGGAACAGGCGTGCTTTGTGTCCACGGTTCGTACCCTCAACCCTGCCCCGCAGCTCAGCCGGCGTGATTCCTGGCTCTGCAATGTGCTTCATGACCTCTGATGCCCCCCGGGTGTGGAGGAGGACAGGGCTCCACGGGGGTCTCTCCCCTCGACAGCCTGTGGGTGGGGGAAGCACACTCGGACCACCTCTCAGGAAACAGGCCAGTCATCGAGGTCCGGGCGGCAGCCACACCCCAGGCTGGCGCAGCAACCATCCCAGGCACTCGTCTGTCAGGCGCCCGTGGTTTACACACCGATAACCAGCTCTGCTGGGCTGTGGAGAAGGGCTCGCTCGCAGCGTCAACAGGAGTGAAAGCTGGGGCAGCCTGCTGGAGGCCACTGTGGCAGAACCAACCAGAACGTGAAGGGACAGGCCTGTGGACCGAGTAATCCCACCTCTCAGGCTTGGCCTGGCTGGTGCTCCAAGAGAGGGACAAGGTTCCCCAAGGGGAACAGAAAACCCGGACATCTGCCAACTGGGATTTGAGTCAAAAATCCTGGGGCCGGGCTTCCCTGGTGGCGCAGTGGTTGAGAGTCCGCCTGCCGACGCAGGGGACGCGGGTTTGTTCCCCGGTCCAGGAAGATTCCACGTGCTGTGGAGTGGCTGGGCCCGTGAGCCATGGCCGCTGAGCCTGCGCGTCTGGACCCCGTGCTCCGCAACGGGAGAGGCCACAACAGTGAGAGGCCCGCATACCGCAAAAAAAAAAAAAAAAAAAAAAATCCTGGGGCCACCATATGCCAAGATAGCTGGCTGCTGAGGAAGCGGCTGGGGAGAGTCCCCATGTGCTTGCATGGAGACATGAACACACCAGCTGCTGGCGGGAAGAGACACGTGCTGGAACATGCCGTGTTCGTGTCAAAGCCAGACTATATGTGTGTACACGGGTAGATGCTGGCTCAGAGAAGAGCGGGGTTGGTGGGGAAGGGGAAAAATGGACTCTTTGTTACTTTCACTTATTGGTATTTGCATTTGAAAAAATTACTACTTTTATAGTAAGACGTAAGAGGTAAACACTTTCTTTAAAGCTACTGTACCAGGGCTTCCCTGGAGGCTCAGCTGTTAAGAATCTGCCTGCCAGTGCAGGGGACATGGGTTCAAGCCCTGGTCCGGGAAGATCCCGGAGGTGCTGCGGAGCAACTAAGCCCGTGTGCCGCAACTACTGAGCCTGTGCTCTAGAGCCCACGAGCCACAACTACTGAGCCCGCATGCCACAACTACTGAAGCCCGTGTGCCTAGAGCCCATGCTCTGAAACAAAGAGAAGCCACCACAACGAGTAGCCTGCACATTGCAAGGAAGAGTAGCCCCCTGCTCGCTGCAACTAGAGAAAGCCCACACGCAGCAACAAAGACCCAACACAGCCAAAAAATAAATAAATAAATTTATAAAAACAAACAAACAAACAAAAAACTACTGCATCTATAAAATACCACATCCCTGTTATCTACAGGCACGGAGCCCTGTGCAGGGTATGTGGATAAGAAACAAGGGCAGCAGTGCACAGAGCACAAAAAGTACGCCCCAGTGTGGTTTTAAGAGGCGCCAGCATGAGAGCTGGGCCAGAACATGACCAGGAAGGACCTGCATGACTAAAACAGTGACCATTACTGCCAGCTGATAGGACTGGGGCATCTTCCACTTTCTTTGCACATTTACGCGACACCAGAATTCTTTTTGTTTTTTTGGCTGTGCCATGTGGCTTGTGGGATCTTACTTCCCTGACCAGGGATGGAACCCAGGCCCTCTGCAGTGAGAGTGCAGAGTCCTAACCACCTGACCACCAGGGAATTCCCAGGATTATTTTTTTTTAAATAACAACGGAAAATGAATTTTTTCATAATCAGAGCAAAAAACTAGTTTTGTTTTGAGAAACAGAGGAAAGTAACTGCTCTCTGGGCTTCTCTCCAGGGGCCTCCGGGACTCCAGGAGAATGTCAAGAGGCCAGCGGGCACTCATGCTAGTGGGCATGGTCTCCCTGAGGCTTCGAGCCCCTCCCCCTAGGGGGCCTGAGAGCTGTTACCTGGTGGGGGTTCCAGTCACTGTCGAATATGATAACAGTGTCGGCTGACTGGAGGTTCAGACCCAGCCCCCCAGCCCGGGTGCTGAGCAGGAAGATGAAGTACTCGGAGCCGGGCTCGTTGAAGGTCTTCAGCAGCATGCCCCGGTCCTCCGCTTTAGTGGTTCCTGCCGGCGGGTGGGGAGAGCAGGGTTATTAGCAAGGTGACCGTGGCGGGTGGAGGGGGGGCGGGCGGTGGTGCAGAGGAGACAGAGGAACACCTACATCAGGGAGCAGGTATAGAGTCCACAGCTGTCCAACTCGGGCCACCCAAGCCATGGCCACTCGCTCAACACGTGGCCATGAGTGGTGACTGGCGAACAACTCAGATTTACGGTGACACTACTGACCGCCAGTCCTCCCACCCCAGGAGAAGAAAACGAGCCCCAACGGGCCTCCGGTGTCTCCTCCGTGTAAATCGGGGCTGCTGTGGGAACTAAGTGGGCAGGCGCTGGAGCACAGTGCCCGGCACCCAGCAGACACCCAGGCAATGGGGCTGCCCTGTGAGTCGCCACCACCTGCCCTGCCCAGCTGTCCAGGCGGTGGTGGGAGACACTGCAGCAACACTGTTAACGCCGTGCCCCCAAACCCACGTGGGGTTTCCAGGAGGGCAGACGGGGCTGCTATGGTATCGAACAACTGGCCAGAGGGCTGGCGCCTGCCTCCATCCTACTGTGATGGGTTTTCTCCATTCACAAAGGGAATCATCTACAGGCGAGCACACGGGGGGCTTACAATGGAGACTTGTTTCCCTCTGGGCAGGATGGCTCCCCTCTTCATGGAGCCACAGGGACTCTAATGTGATGGCCCAGGACATGATCCTCAGCATCGTGATGCTCAGAGGGGCATCTAAGCTCCTCGGGCTACTGCCAGCCTGGGGAGCAGAGGTGCCTCTGGGGAAATCAGGTGTCATTCCTGGTGTTGCTTCCAGCCACTCGCCTACACGTCACAATGAACAGCATGGAGGCCTGATGCCCACTGGTGCCTGGGCTGCCCCAGTTCCAAGGAGGGGCTGAGGCAGGCCCAGGTGGAGGGGCCGATCCCAGATGCCCGGCCTGCACCCTCACTCTCGGCATTCTGACAGCAGAAGGTTCCACTCCACGTGTCACCGAGCCCCCACCGTTGCCGTTCTTTTTTTTCCTTCTGGCTGCACTGTGTGACACGCGGGACCTTAGTTCCCCGACCATGGATTGACCCTGGGCCCCCTGCCGTGGAAGAGCGGAGTCCTAACCACTGGACTGCCAGGGAACTCCCCCCCTTTGCCTTTCTTTCCCAGAGTTTCCGCTCACGTGGCAGTGACCACATGAGGTGCCCAGAGATGCAGCCACAGCCAAGCAAACAAAAGTCCTCATCCTAGATAGAGGACTCTCATCATGGAGGAAAAAAAAAGGGGGGGTGGGCAAATGGATGGGCGCTGGGGTGGGTGGGAACACACTCTTCACGTTTGGCCTGTCCTCTAGGGGTCGGGGCAGTGACACAGACAAGGAGTAGCACTCATGAAGGCTCAGCCCCTGAAGGACAGAGAGGCCACTGGGGAGGCCAGCACACAGAGGGAGGGGCGAGGTGAGCCTGGCCACGCAGGCCTTCCAAGCCATGGGAAGCACCTGAAGGAGGGAGGTTTGAGGGAGGACCTGACCACAGCTGTGTCTGTAAAGGTCGCCCTGGACAGAATTCCAAGAACAGGCCGAAGGAAGGCAAGATAGGGATGCAGCAAAGGTTCTGGGTGGGAGTGGGGAGGGCAGAGACCGACAGACAGATCCGCCCAGCAACCACGCGTCTGAAAAAAACAACAGTTCCACAAGATGTACCGTGAAAGACACAATGGGGGCAAAAAGGTTTGGGGTGTTGGCCGTGGATGCACATAGCAACGAGCTTAGATAAAGGCTCTGAGAAGTGTGGTTTATCCCACACTTCTTAACTGTGTTTACCCTGGAGGCCCCCAAGTTCATTTTTCTTGAGAGCCCCATTCACTCCATCTGACAGAGGGTGGGGGGCTCCCTCTAGGGTCTTCCCGGTCAGTTGACACGTGTCAGAGCATGGGTCCTGCACACTGTCAGCATCTCACTCAGCCCCCTCCTCCCCGGAGCTCCTGCGTGCTGGGAACAAGGCAGAAACAGGGCTTCTTATGAGTGCATGTGGTCACAGTCAGTGCTGTTCCCAGGGAACTCGCCGCTATCACCCCTGCAGCATTGGTTTTCCTCCCTCCCTTTCCTGCTTCCCTCAGTGCTCACAGTTCCGGCATGAACGGGCCCGATTCCAGCTCCAGAGCCACCCAGGCGGTGGAGAGAAGAGCATGTTGCTCACAGCAGCCTAATGAAATTTCACCCTCAGACCCCTGGGGGAAAAGACAAGCTGCTTCTCTGTTCGGGACACTGAGCAGGTAGGTGGAAGGAAAGCCCGGAGAGGTTGGCTAAGAATGAAGCCAAAATGGAGGACAAAGAGCCAGGAGCTCCAGAAAAGCCCCTCTAAACACTATCTGGGCACCTGGATCCAGCTGTGCCTGAAGCAACCCTTGAGGTTCAGTTATGTGAGTCTATCAGGACTTCCTTCTTTATGCCCACAGGATATGGGTTTCTGTCACTTCCCACCGTAACAGGACCGTAGAGCAACCCTTAACCACTGGACTGGACGCAGCGTTATGGTGCAAACACCATGAGCCTCACATTCAGGAGATCCAGCCATGATACTCCCAGGGCCCTCCCTCCCATTCCCGCAAGCCTGTGTCACTGAGTGAGCCGCTATGCCCACTCCTGCCGCTAGACCTAGAGAAGCTTTGGCAGCAGCGGATAACGAGGCCGCCCTTTAACAAACGTCTCTCTCCCGATCGTACTCACCATCGAGCCTGAGGTATTTAAAGCCGCGATACGCAAAATAGTCTTCCATGATCGTCATGAGGGAGGTCATCTGACAGAACAGCAGCACTTTATGGTTGGTGGCCCGGAGTTTGGGAAGAATTCTATCGAGCAGCTCAAATTTCCCCGAGGCTCGGTACAGGTCCAGCCTGCGGAGTGGAGGGGGTGGGGAAGGACACACACACCACATGAACCACAGCGCCCTGCAGGCAGGTCAAGGAGGACGTGCGCTCCCATGCCCAGGCTACCTGAGCCGGCCTAGGCAGGCTGGCCACCAGGCTCGGGGGCACACAAGTGCTTCCTTGGCAGACTACCCCCGTGCCCGCCCCCGCCCCCCTCCCCCCACCAAAGTTTCAGCAAAGCCATTTCAACCCAACTAAAATAAACTTGGTCATGAAATTACTAATCAACTTGGATACTTGTAAGAGCGAAAGAAGGTGCTATTTATTAGTAAAGATCCTGGGACAATGGGCATGGACAGGGGCTGCCCCGGAGAGCCAGGCCTCCTGTTTAAGAACTTTCCAAGAGCAGAGGCTCCCAGTGGAGAGTGCCCACACCGCACCACACACAGGGCTAAGGGCCACTGCAACTTCTGTCATTCGCTCCTGGTTTATAGATGTGGAAACTGAGGCTGGGGGACAGTGTGACACGGCTGCTGACCTGCCAGGGCCGGGCTCAAACCCAGGTCTGTGGGACCCTATTATGCAATTTGGTATAAAGAACTACACAGCTAAAGAACCTTTTGCCCTTTCATTCGGTGCCTCTGCTCTAGGAAATAGTTTACTATCCCAGAGAAATAATGGTGGCTTTAGGGTTAAGAATGTTTTAACGGTGAAACCTTGAGGCAGCATTTGTGTCCCAACACCAGGGCTGAACGATGCCTGGGCTGCGCTTTATAAACAACGCTGGAGAAAACACCCCCAGAGCAAGGTGCGTGGCGCACTGTATAAAGAGTATCCCTCTGTTGGTGGGCAGAGTTTAGGCTCAGGGTGGTTAAGAAAGCTGTCACAGGTCACAGAGCCCAGAGGTGGGGCCTGGAAGCCAGGTGTGGTCACCTCTTCAAGTGGAGAATTTTTATTCTCTTCTTTGGGTTCATCTATGTTTTCAAAGTTTTCTGCCAGGAATATACTGCCTTTGAAATTAGACAAGTATAACAACAGAAATAAAGCCAACCGAAGAGAGAAATACTGGCACACAGATGGTCTGCCCACCCCGTTAAGCTAGGAAGATTCTCACCCTTGGACGATGCCACCGGTAAATCCCAAGTGCTCGGAAAAGGACTCCTGCGATGGAATGAGAGGCGGGTCAGTGCGGGGCAGGAAAAGACGGCCAGGCCCCACGCCTCCGAGCCCTCCCACCCATGCTCAGCGATCGCCCACGGCGGCCCCAAGACCACACAGATGCTGAACACAGCTTTTCTATCCCACTGACATCCCTTCCGTCATGACCTAACATTCTTAACCACAGAAAGGAGCGCGCGAGGACGGCGCGCGCCTGAGATCGCACCTGGTGAGCTGAAATGGAAGCCCAGGGGCCTCTGGCATGACCCCGGAACTTTATGCCAGAATGTACGGACATATGTGTGCTTTTCAGAAGCAAGCATCCAGACTCTCAAGGGTACTGGGGCCCAGAGCCGTCAGCAAGAGCGACGCTGCTCTCCATGCTCTGCCCAGGATGGCCCCACGTGTCACCGAGTGGGGAAGGCTAGTAACCAACAAGCAGAGGCAGCACAACCCCACCGCGGGGGAAACGACTCCAGAGAACAGCCTCCGAAGGCTTCGGCGGTTACCTGAGGTGGGACTTTCATTTCTCTTGCATATTTCCCTACAGTTTGGATTCTTTACAATATATAAGCGCTTGCAAACAAAAAATCCATAAAAAGGCAAACGTACAAGCATCATCTAGTCTAAACCTTACAAGCTCTTTTTCTCTAAAGCTGCCAGAGAGAAGTGACCTAGCTCTGTCTAGGGGCTAGGCGCAGACAGACCCCTCTGAGAGCAGGGCCCTGTGCAGGGCTGAGGCCCACGAGCTCCAGGTACCGCTGGGCCTGCCGCCCCGGCCCTGGGCCTCACCTCGATGTGCTGGAACATGTACGGGTGGTTGCAGATCTTCCTCAGCTGCATGATGGTGTTCATCAGGGTCTTGGTGCCACCTTTGCCCTGAGGAGGCAGAAGAGAGGCTCCCAAATCGGTCTTGTCCCGGGGTGGGGTGGGGTGGGGTTGGGGGAGGAGGCGTGGAAGAAGGACGTGAGAGGAGCTGTGGCTTGTGGCAGAGGAGACGGGGCGTGTGCAGCCGGCTCCTGTCGGGGCTCAGAGGCCTGAAGCCAGCAAGAAGCCAGCGCTGGGGGAAGCGGAGACCCCCTGGCACCCTGGAGGGTGGAGGGTGGAGGGTGAGGAGGGGCCGGCGGGACGCAGGGGAAACGTGACTGGCAAAGAGCTGAGGGTGGATCACAAACGCTTTGTGAGGCCAGCTCTGTGGGCACTGGGGGGAGTCCCCGGGGCGGGGCTGCAGCCAGACGGCTTAGGAAGATCTCTGGCTACAGGGTGAAGGAAGGATGCCGGGGTGGGTGCCGTGGGCCAAGAAGAAAACCAGGAAACAGGGTGCTGCAACAGCTCGGGTAAGAAAGGGCCCAAACGAAACATCTGGAAGAGAAAATGGGGTGGCAGGGCCAAGCCCGAGGCCGCGGGGGCAGAAGCGAGGGATCTGGGAGGACAGCTGCAGTCCTGGTGAGGGGAGCAGGGGCGGGGGGGCCCAGGGCCTCAGAGGGGCCGGAAGGCAGCAGCCTGCCTAGCTCCCACCTCCCCACCGTAAACTAACGTCACCCCAACGCCACGTAATGACAAGGGAAACGGGCTCAGTGGCCCTGGCCGTCGAGGCTCTTTCCCAGCTGGGAAGGTGGGACTCCCTAGAATATTCTAACGGCTGGGGTCCGTGCTGGGCCCCCCACTTCCGACTGATGCATCCACGGGAGAGAGCACTTCACGAGCAGAGGACCCCAGGCTGCTGACTGGGAGGCTCGGGGGCCTCCCTGGAAACGGGCCATCAGCCTCTGCCCCCTCAGCCTTATGGACTGGACCCATCCACACCAGCTGTGATTTAAACCAGGCCCAGTCAATACCCTCGGGACCACGGCCAGATGGGGCCTCGGCCACGACTATCACCTCCGAGGAGGCGAGAGCCTGCTGCTTACAGTGTGCAAAAGCCCCGCACCCAGTGGCCCCCAGCGCGCCTGCTGTGGACACCCGGGGGGGGAAGGGGGGCCCCGAGCCAACCTTCTTATCCTTTTCAGAGCCATCGGTGAGCAGCACCCCCTTGGCCTGCATGTGCCGGTAAAGCACGCGCTGCAGCGCGGACATGTCGCACTTGATGACGTACTCCACCTGCAGGGCACACACCGCCGTCAGCCGCAACTGGAGCCGAGGGTCCCGGAGCCCAGCGCCCAGCCTGGGCCCGTCTCTGATCGCCCAGCCTCTCAGAGGCATCCTGGGCCCTGGACTGTGTGCTCTGATCAGGGCACACAGGGGTGATCGTGAGGAAACCCCATACCCAGGGGGACGAGGGGAGATGGGATGTGGCAGACGCACCAGGGCAGAGAAATGTGGGGGGCTTCCTGGGCCAGATGGGGCAACTCGGCTACCTTCCAAAGGCCTGCCCACAGCCGGCCAAAAAACAAAGCGCAAATGTGACTGGGGGGGGGCGACTGGCCAGGGACCCCAAGCCCACCCAGGGGAAAGGGGAGGGGGCCCTGGGGGGACTTAGTGCTCTAACTTAGCACACCTGCCTTCCACTTGAGAGACCCAGTGAGGGAGAGTGGCCAACCCCAGGCGGGATCGACTCCTGAATGCCGAGGCAAGACCAGGGCCAGGCCTGGCACCCAGGGGAGCCACCTGACTGGGCCCACCCCAGGGAGGCCCCCTGGACGATGCCGCACTGGGACTTCCGCTCAAAACAAACATGGTACGTGGAATTCCCTGGTAGTCCAGTGGTTAGGACTCGGCACTTCCACTACCGGGACGCCAGGGTTCGATCCCTCGTCAGGGAACTAAGATCCCACAAGCTGTACAGCGTGGCCAAAAAGAAAAAAACTAAACGTGGTACCTTTTCAGGTAACTGAGCCTCGACTTCCTTCTTGAGCCGCCGGAGCAGGAAGGGCCGCAGCACTTTGTGGAGACGACGGATGATGAGAATGGTTTCCTCCTCGTTCAGGTCCACCTGGCAGCCCCAACAAGACATGACAACCAAGCGTTACCTCCAAAGGAGGGGACAGGGATGCAGCGAAGGGCCATCTGGAGTCACCCTGTGCTCAGCACCTCCTTTTCAGACTACCCTAAGCTTCACAGGAGCCTAGCAGGGCAACCTCTTCCTCTGAAAAACTGCAAGGATCTAAGACCTTCCATGGAGGTCCTGGGACACGGAAGCCAAGGCCCCAGGGCACCATGAAACACAGCAGCATGCTGCATCGCTTCCCCAAGAGTAACAAACCCACGTGCCTGGAGTCCTGCCAACACATCCAAACGAAATCCGGACAGCACTGCGGGGGCCACGCGGATAGAGCGTGTGGCGTAACTCCGGGGTGCTCCAAGAGGGCTCTGTCACTGGAAGCCCAAATCAACTCTCATTTTGGCCTGGGGGGGACGGACGGAAAGAAATGCTGCTCTCCCAGGGGGTCTGCCACTCTGATAAAAATGTGAATTAAAAAAAATTTTTTTAAGTGAAAACATGACATCTGAACTTTTCTTCTCTGGGTCCCTTTGGGCAGAGCTTTTGCTCAACTTGAAAATACGTGAAACCAGAGCATTTGTTCCTCAGCTCTTGGAGGAGGCGGTCCCTGGGAATCTGAAAACTGGGGGCTCCTTTGTTATGAGATCCTTGGAAAGGCCTCAATTTCTCCTTCAGGAGGGCTTCTGCCTCAGCCGGTACCAAGGAGGCGGGATGATGCTGACAGAGGCCCCCCTGTAAGAGCTGAGGAACAGCTGTCCCAGACTTGCCTCAGGAAAATCCGCTAACTGGGAACGAGTGAGCTGGGGCACGGCTGCCGTGGGCGGTGACGCTCAACATTAAGCCCTGCGATCGTGCCCACCTCCTCGATCATCAGGCTCAGGCCGCTGACCTCCTTCAACAGAAAACGCGGCGGCCACAGACACACCAACAACGCCACTCCCAGCCACGCAGACATTGAGAGACACTGGCCACAACCCACAGCCGTCTTTAAAAACAAAAGGGACAGAATCTGACCATGTTACTCCTTTCACTGAAACCATCCAAGCTACCCGCTGCCCTCAGGGTGAAAATTAAACTCTCCTCAGGCCCTCCAGCTGCACCTTCACACCTCAGGGCCATATTCCTTGCTGTCCCCTCCCTGTGCCTGGGGCACAGGGTCAGGGAAGCCCCAAGCATCCCCTGGGATTTCTCTGCCCTTCTCCTCTGGGGTCCTTTGGTGCCAGGGCTGCCCTGTGCTTTGCTGGGCCGGCTGTGGTGGGCACTCAACCCACAACGACCCAGGGAAGCCAGCTGGGCCGGGACCATCAACTTGGAGGGTCCTGGGAGCTGCTTGTGGCCGAGGCTCATGGCTCCCCACTCCACCCCCCGCCACCACGTGGCTGGCTGCACACCCACCTTTTCCCCGGTCATGGCAAAGGGCGCGTTGAACCACTGCTCGAAGGTGCTGCAGCTCTTGAAGATGGTGGGCAGCAGGAAGTTGAGGAGCGCCCAGAGCTCAGGGAGCTTGTTCTGCAGCGGCGTGCCCGTCAGCAGCAGGCGGCGGGGGGCCACGTAGTGCGTGTTGAGGACCTGCGTCAGCTTGCAGTGGTGGTTCTTCATGCGGTGGCCTTCGTCCACGATCATGTACTTCCAACGGATCTGCGGGCCGAGAGCAGGAGGTCAGGGGAGGACAGGCAGCAGCGCTGCCCACCTGGGTGAGGCTCTCACGGCCATTAGGCAAGAAGGCTCTGGGCAGAACGGCCTGCTGAGCTGGAGAACGTGAGCACAACAACAGCCCCTGATGAGGGATCAGCTCACACCGCAGCCTCTGTAAAGCAGGGGGTGAAGACGGACACGCGGACAGGGAGACACGGCGCTGACCTGCGACTGGGTGAACAAACCCAGGGGCAGAAAAGTACTTTGGTTTCCCAAGAAAATTATGTATGCTAGTACATGACACAGAGAAACACCCCAAATAACAACCCCCCTGCTGATCAGAGGCCCTCAGGGGTGGGGTCTTCAGGGGACTTGGTTCAGCAACGGGTGCATTTCCAATCAGCAGGCGGCAGCTCTAAGGCAGGAGCAGCACAGGTGGGTTCAGATGGTGCGCTCTGGGGGCCCCGGCTGCGCCCCAGAGCCTGTCAGTGGCCACACGGCTGGTGGACACAGGCTAGATGTCGATTCTAACCATGAGTGTGAGTCTGCAGGCAGGAGCCGCAGGTGTAAATCCCTATTTACATGTGACTGTGACGAGCTTCAGAGCCACTCTGGCTTTGGCTTCTTTGGCACGGCCTGGCTGAGGAACTGCCCATCAGGTGTCCCAGACGAAAAGGGCAGAACCGACTGGGGTGGGGCCTAGCAGCCATTTCCCACAAGGAACCCCCATGGCAGGGGGCTTACGTTAATTAAAGCCACGGTCAGACAAACACAGGATTTTCAGAGCCCCGTTCTCATGCTTGGGATGGGCCTGGCTTTGTACTGGGTCAGAAGGGTGAGCCTGCACACTGGACACCAGCTCCCTGGGACCCAGTTTCCTCATCCGTAGCTCAGAGATGCACATCAAGCACCAAATGTCATCAGTACGACCAAGGCCGACAGGTGTGGTAACACGTAAACATCTCCTCCATCCACTGGGTCAAAAACTCCACCACTTGACTTAATCCCCTACACGGTTAGTGAGGCCAGATGCAGCACCTTCTGGCTCGACCCCTTCCCAAACCGGGAAAAGAGCTTTTTGTAGGCGAGGGATGGTGCCTGCCTCCTATCTGGGTCATGGTTTATTCTCGGTAATTCCCTGATGGCCCAACTAGAGCTGCCTTCACAACTGTGTCAGCTAAGAGGCTGCCCCGTGTGCACAGCCCCCACTGAATGCGCCAACCCAGCGGTCCAAGGCTGAGAGAACACACAGGACGTCAGAGTGCTTGGACCTGTATACCAAATCCCTCCTGCTTCGTGGGCCGCTTTCCTGTAGGCTGTGGTAGGGAGACATGGCCACCAGGGAGGGAGGTCTGAGGCCTCTAGAGACAGGCGGAGACAAGGGGGGCCTCACCACAGCCCTGCCAGGGACACGGCAGGCAAGACAGGTGGGTCGAGAGTCACCGCGTGTGACCAGGCTCTTCGGGCAGAAGGCCCGAGAGGAGCCAGTCCACATGTTGCGCAGACGCAGCCAGTCTCTGGACGTGGCCCAGGGCCAGCCTGGGGACAGATGGTCGGAGAGGCAAGCCCAAGGTCACCTCGACCGGGGCTGTTCGCACACAGAGCAGCTGTCTTTTTACACATATGTGGGGGAATCACTGAGAAATGTCTTCGGGGGCTTTGAGAAGATGGGAAGCATGACACACTTGCGACAATCCTGTGCTGGATCACGGGCTCCCTGACAGCACGCGACGGCCTGGGCTGGCTTGTTTTACAGGCAGACACGCTACCTTTGCAAGGATGTGCTTGTCTTTAATGATGTACTCGTAGGTCGTCAGCAAGACGTTGAACTTGCCGCTCCGGAGCTGGGGAACGAAAGCACGTCTGGCTGCTGGAGAGCCCTGTGAGGGAGAGAAGACACGCGCGCCTCAGCCTCTGGGCCTCGGGTCCTGGCCCCTCACGCCGGCAAGGGCAGAGGGCCAAGTGTGGGGAGCGGAGAGAGGAGTGTGGGTCCTGGGTGGCCCGGGCCCCTGGGAGGCTCGCTGCCTGCACCTCCATCGGCCTCACTCCTGATGGTCAACCAGCTCCGCTTCCCACACCCTCCTCTTCCCGGGTCCCCATCTCAGGCCTCCAGGCCTCCCACACAGGCGCAGACCGCCGTGATTACTCCCAAAGGGCAGCTCCAGACTCTTGCCGGTTAGCAAATCTGCCCCGTCCCTCCTGTTCGAAGCTCACGTTCCAGACAGAGCTGCACTCGTTCCCATAAGCTCTTGCTAGCCGAACGACTTTTAGCTCCTCAAACGCACCAAGTTCTCCCCAGACACGCTGTCCCCTCTGCCAGGACCCAATTTTCCCCATCACGGGGCCAAGAGCCTCTCAGCACAGGGTGGCGAGCCTGGACCCAGTAGACCTGTGGCCAAGGGCACAACGGGGCTCTGCCACTGAGTGGCTGTGTGAGGCCCTCTCTGCCTCTCTCCCCACGAGGACAAGAGGCACATTTAGTCCCCACTTCACGGGAGAACTGATCTAGGGGTGGCACTCAGAGCAGGCCTGCACGGGGCCCACGTGTCCGGGTGTCCCCTGTCACACAGCAGCCCACGGTGGACACTCGCTAAGTCATCCCACGTGAATGGGTTTTAACCAAAGCTCTGCAAGAATAATGAAATCTTCAGGTGAATGCGTTAATGTCACCACATGCCACAAACTGAGTCCATAACTTCAGGTAAAAAAGAAGCATCACTCCTCGAAATAAAGTGATCCAAACCCTGTGTTAATGGCAGGATGCCATGTGTATAACATAAGAAGACGTGCACATGCACACGTGCATCCTGTCATTAATGCAAGTTGATGCCCCTCTTCACCCACACGTATCCCCTGTTCTCCCACCCTGCCCATGCCCACCTCCTCAGGGGGCGACGTACCTTGTAGGACACCTTCACCACCGAGGGGGCCCACTTGTCAAATTCGTATGCCCAGTTGGACAGCGTTCTGGTGGAAACAAGGAAGGGAGAGTCAGGGTCTAGTTCTGTTGCCAGCAACTGTCCAACAGATGCCCAAGAGGAAGTGAAGCTGATGTGTGTGTGACCCTCAGAGCTGGCCGGGTAATGGACCATCTGAGGGAAGGAGGGGATGGTGCCCCAGGTGGAAGACACAGGGACACACAAAGGCGTGGTGGTGGGTATAGGGTCAGCCTCCGCCAGGGCGGTCGGAGAGGGCCAGGACCAGGAGCTGGACCCTGGAGAACAGTTCTCTGTCACCGCTGTGTGGCCACAGGCCCCTGTGAGAACACACCACAAGCTGCAGACCTGCTGTTAAAAAAAACGCAGATTCACGGTGCCTCATTTCAGGCTCAGGACGCTGGGGGTGGGGTGCGGGAGTCATGCCACGGAGGCCGGGGCTACAGGAGACACCACCGAGTCGCAGTGCCACGTCAAAATGAAACTGGCAGTCACTGAAGGTTCCTGCCCGGTAAGAGGCAGAATGAGGATGGGAGGCAGGCGAGACCAAGCCAGGCCCGGGCAGAAGACTGCAGGAGGGGGAGCGCAGGAGGACTCGAGGCCAGGAAGAGGGGGGACAGACAGAGATGGGCAGTGAGCGGGCATGGGGGCGGGTGAGGAGGGACAAGTCACCCCCGACTACAAGAGAGAACCTCAGGAGAGGGTGACAGCGACAGTAAAGCCAAGTTCAGAGCGGGTGGGCTCTCGGGGAAATACTGGGACACAGAGTCTTCGGTGGGGGAGGGAACTCACTCAGACAGTCTAGACCAGGGGGTTTGTAAAGACAGGATGCAAAAGCCAAGTGGAAGGGACTGCTCGCGGCTCCCCCAGCTCCTCCCTGCAAGCTCCACTGAGGAGCTCCCCCAGCAGCCAGGGCCAACCAGGTGGGCACAGTCTGAGCCAATGAGATGGAAGCTTAAGTCGCTGGGCTGAAAGTCAGGGAAAGGTCTTGAAGGAGGGTGGAGACTCAGCTGCCCTACGCTCCTGCTGCCCTGGGCCCCGCCCATCATTCTGGGAACCCAGAGGAGATGATGGAGGCAGCGTGGCCATCCTGCAACCAAGAGGGTAAAGGCCTAGGGGCAGGAGTCACGTGCTAAGGATTACTGAGCAGAAAACTGCAGGAGCCTGGGTCCTGGAAGCTTGAAGCCACCTGGCTGTGGGCTTCCCCTTACTGAGGGATCAGCAAGGTTGCCCTGGTTCGGTCACCGAGGTCTGGTTCCTATTGCAGGGAGCAATAGGGGAAGGTCGGGGCACTGAGAGAGAGAGAAGCCAAGGGCCAAAGCCTGGGGTGGGGGAGGGGCATCTGCAGAGCGGGAGAAGAGCTGAGGGAGAGTCGGGAGGGAGTGGAAGTTAAGGAGACAGGCCAGAGTCAGGGGTCAAGAGGGAGGCAGGACAAGCAAACTCATGGCGGAGAACAGCACGCCCCAGCAGGTGGACGGGACAGCGGGACACTCACAGTCTGAAAACATCCCCCAGGGCACAGGTGGCTCCTGGAGATGACACTCAACAGCCTGGGCCCCGGTCTGGGTAGCACAAGGGTGAAAAGGGCTGAAGATCAACACACGGGATAACTTCACTGAATGGAATGGGGGAAAGCAGCCAACTTAAATGACCTTGGAAAAGATGTTTTGGCTGGAAACTGTAAGTCTAAGAACAAAAGGAACTGGATCTCTAGTTAGCAAGGTTGTTCCTCACAGGCTAAGTATTCTGAAAGCACTGTACACGCACACTGGGAACGAACACACGAGTAAGGAGAAAGGCTAGAATGAGCCCTGTGGTCCCGGCTGAGTCAAAGACAGCAGTATGGTCACACTTAACAGAGACACAGATGACCAGACGCAAATCATGTCAGCACGTGTGCACTAGGGTCAGTACACGTACGTATACTTCCTAGCACTGCACACTGAGAGGGCCTAGAAGCAATGACGCCCCAGAAGCAAGGAGCACACCCAGCACCCACGTCTTGGTTTCTAAGACCATTTTCTAATAAGGGAAACCAGGGTTTCTTGGAGAAATGGCTGGTTCTAGGCCTGGGAGGGAAATGTACCAGCTGAGCCTGGAGCGTCTTTGGGTGCCAAAAAGCAAAGACGTGCTCAAAAACCCCACAACGATGGGGGCATGTCAAAGGAACAGAGCAGCCAACTGAGAAAGCTCCCAATGGCCAAGGCTGGAATGATTTGAGCAACAAAATAAACTAGTATTGGAGTTTAACCCAAAGTATAAAATAAATATCCAGGAGTCCATATTGATATAAATGATTGAATACATTCACAATTGGGGGAGAAGAGAGAAATCTTCCACACAGGAAAACTCCAAAAAATTTATGTAAGGATTTCACCTTCAAGGAGGTAGCTCTTAATTGCCCACCTATTATTTGTGGGCTGAACTTAGTCCCTTTTTTCCAGAATACAGTATGGAAGGGGTAAAAAAGAGTAACTTCACAGTGGAGACACTTGACACACACTACCTCAGCCCGGTGATCAAGGTCAACCTCAAGAGTGAAAAGTCATGTAGACAGTAACTGACAGTAACTGCCCCCCCCCGTGAGGTGATAAGACACGTGCTTCACTTCTGGTCTTCGTCCCGAAACCCACCATCCCATTTAAGGATGAAAAAATCACCAAACAGATCCAGGCTGAGGCACATCCTACAAAACACCTGACCAGTTCTCCTCAAAACCATCAAGGTCACCAAAATTACACCAAGTCTGAGGAATGGTCACAGACCAGAAAAGATTGAGGAGACTTCCCTGGTGGCACTGTGTATAAGACTCCGTGCTCCCAGTGCAGGGGGCCCGGGTTCGATCCTTGGTCAGGGAACTAGATCCCATATGCATGCCACAACTAAGGAGCTTGCGTGCCACAACTAAGGAGCCCTGGAGCCGCAACTAAGGAGCCCGCCTGCTGCAACTAAGACCCGGTATGTATGTCACATGGGATTCTGGAATTGAAAATGGAAATCAGGGCAAAACTAGTGAAATCCACATAAAGTTTACTTAATAGTAATGTGTTTAATTACTAGTAATGTTCCAGTGCTGGTTCCTCACTTGTGACGAATGTAACACGGTCACGTAAGATGTGATCAACCACAGGGGGAACCTGGGGAGAGTATACGGGGGCTCTGAGTACGACCTTTTCAACTTTTCTGTAAATCTGATACTATTCTAAAGTAAACAACCACAATGCAATGACAGAGACGTGCTGAAAGGACACAGGGACGGATCTGAAGCGTCTCCCTGGGCCAAATCTGGGACAATTTAAGCAAAGTAAATAACAATAGTGTCCACAAGACAATTCTTCTATGAAGAATTACACCATTAAACAATTAAATAAGGGAGAAGAGACAGCTCTTCCTTGTAGTGGAATTCCAAGACCTGTAGAAGGAATGCCGGAAAGAGAAAACCAGTACTCGGCACTTTCCAGAGTGATCATTTCAGGTGAGACTCCTCTGACAGATGCTGAAATTACGGGGGAAAGTTATGATGAGAAATGGCATATTCATATAGCTTCTAAGTGCCTTCTCACAAGTTACTTATAAATTACACAGGAAAACTCTTAGGTTTATGTGGGGAAACCCGCAGGCACCACGTAAGGAAAGACCAAAGCGATGCTCTCCTGTCACGGAGCCCCTGGGCTTGTGCCTCCTGATGTGAGGCCCCAAGAAGGGTACAGCACCCACCCTGGAGTTTCTCGTCAGAATTCCAGAAAGAAGACACATCACACAAACCCAATCTGAGGGACAGTCTACCAAATGCCTGGTCAGGATTCAAGTGTCAAGATCATGAAGGACAAAGATGGACTCAGGAACTGTCACAGACACGACATGACAGACACACGGCAACAAAAGGCAAAGTGGGATCCTGGACCAGAAAAAGGCCTTTAGTGGGGAAGTCTACAACATCTGAATAGAGTCTCTAGATTCGTTACCAGTTAACAATGATTTGTTAAATCATTGTTACTATCCTGGTGTTGAAACTGTCCTAAGGTTATGTGAGATGCAGGAGGCCGGGTCAAAGGTATATAGGAACTCTTTACACTACTTCTGCAGTTGTTTGTAAGTCTGAAATCATTTCAAAATGAAAATTTAAAAATGACAAACCCAGGCTGCAGAGCAGCACGCTGGACAGAGCTATTCCAGTGGAGATGAAGTCACGCCTGGGAGGCTAAACAGAAGGGAAGGGACTTGAGTAAGTGGAGGGCAGGGAGTCAGCGCACAGGCAAGGGCAGCGGGAAGCAGAGAAGCAGCTGGGCCTGACCACGGCCTGGGACCTTCCGCTGCACCGTGGAAACAGTTCCCTCTCCATGAAGATCTGTTCCTGCCAAGGCAGCCAGATTTACACCGCCATGAGGGACAGAAGGCAAAAGGAGGAAATCAACTTCTCGAGGTGAATTCTGGGAGGGTTCTGGGGCCCCCAGCGGTGGGTGCGTGGCCTCTGGAGGCCTGGCCTCCTTACAGGTAGGAGGGCATGTTCCCATGGGCTGAGGGCTGACTACTCGGTTTCCCATCCTCCCCCTCGACAGCTGACTTGAGGCAGACATGGTTCCCCCTGAGTGCTGGGCCGACGGTAAAGGGGGTTCCCCTTCAGGGCCAAGCCAAGTGTACACACAGAGGCCTGGCCACATCAGAGCAGACCATCCCCCAGGCCCATGACTGGACTGTTGCCTAACACGTGACCTGAACTGGGTCAATGACAGCCAGTCCTGGGACTTCTGGAAAAAACCTGGGAACAGGAGAACCATTTTGTGACACATGCGGAGCTGGGAAGAGGGATGCCCAGATGGCCTGAGGAATCCTGGCCCCTGGAAGGGTGCCTGCTGGGAGGAAAAGACCAACGGTACCAAGAGGTGGCTAGTGAGAGAGCCTCCTCTGGACGCCGTTTGGGTATCCAGATGCCACCTGAGCGTCTGTGGTGCCTGGACCAGGCTGGGACGCGATCGACAGGGCTCGGTGCCCCAGCAGTAAGTGGACAGTGTCTGCACAAATGGTTCCACTCCACATTTCTAGTGGGCAGTTATCTGACTCCTGTGACAACCTTGTGTGGAATTTGCTCATTGTGGGGCCTGAAGAGGACACCAAGGACATCCTGTGAGAGATGCCCCAACAGGAATCATGGACGGGCACTCCATCACCTGCCCTTCTATCCTGAGCCTTGACACGAGAGGCAGGTGGCTATGGGCTGAGTTGTGTCCCCCCCCAAATTTGTATGTTGACATCTTCATGCCCAGCACCCCAGAACGTGACTATATTTGGAAATAGTCTTTAAAGAGATAATGAAGTAAAAACACGGTCACTGGGGCAAGCCCTAATCCATGACTGGTATAACTTTGTTATAAGAAGAGGAAATTAGGGCACAGACACACATAGAAGGAAGGCAGTGTGAAGACACAGGGAGAAGATGGCCATCCACAAGGCCAGGAGAGAGGCCTAGGGAGAAACCAGCCCTGCTGACACCTTGTTCTCAGACTTGTGGCCTCCCGGGAAATAGTTCCTATTGTTTAAGCCACCCAGGCTGTGGTCCTTCGTGAGGGTGGCCCAAGCAAACTAACACACAGGCGTCTGAGCCCAGGCCGGGCTGCTAGTGACCTCGGGTGGTGGGGCCTTCCCATTGGGCACTCCTGGCACCTGGGGTGGGCACACTCACGAGAGAGGTACTATGATGAGGAAGGGCCCGTTGATCCGCTTGTGCTCCATGAGGTACGTGATGAGAGCGATGGTCTGGATGGTCTTCCCCAGGCCCATCTCATCAGCCAGGATGCCATTCAGGTTGTTGTTGTACAGGGACACCAGCCACTCTAAGCCTTTGATCTGCAAGGAAAAGCGGCCAGGACTGAAGCCCAGGTTGGGTTCGGGGGTGTTCCCCACGCTTCGGAGACTCACAAGTTCTGCCCCAGCCAGGGACCTCCTGCGGCCGTCTTCACTTGGTATTTTGCTCTGAGTCAGCCCACTCCTTTCCCACTCAGTCTCATCCTCAGCAATCCTGTCTCTGAAATCACAGGGTTGCTGTGCTAATGAGAGATGTATATGAAATGTCCTTTCTGGGCGCACATTTAAACAGCTAAGCTTCTCACTGTTACAGTGTCCGTCTGTCACTGCCTGACACCAAGCCACACAGCACATCGGGAGCAACCTGCCCTCAACCGTGTGACACTGGATTCAGGAGAGCGTTGGGGTTTCAGGGGAACTTGGTGATGAGTCCACCACATGACTAACAATGGCCTCAACAGCATTTCAAGATTAACTGAAAGGTTTCCAAAGCTTGTGAAGCTTTCTGAAACACAGTCAATTAGAGAGAATATTGTCTTCAGGGAAAATCTGGAAATTTTCATAACAGATTAAGCAAGTTAAGTCTTGGCCATGTTCTGATTTCTCTGATTACACTGGTCTCTGGAAAGTTCCACTGGCCACAGGATTCACCTTTGGCACTTGATATCAGCACGGATATCAGCACCAGCTGCCTCTTGGGAGCTTACAGGTGAGCCTGGGATATGGGGCCACAGGAAAAGAGATTTTTACTATAAGCAGCTCCATTTCTTGGCTGTTCCAGGCCAGACCCTGACAAAGAGCTTCAGAGGCGTCATCACTTCACCCTCAGAGGCTGGCAGGAGGGGCTGCTGCCCCATTTCCCAGAAGGAAGGACCGAGGCTAGGGCTGCTAACCTCTCCTGCCTTGCTGCCTCATGCTGCACAGAGCTCCAGGAAATATGTACTGAGCACCCACGGGCCCACACCCGGGTCCCATTCTGGCTCGGCCATTCCCAAACCGTGTGATTTTGAGGAATCGCTGTACCTCTCTGTTCCTCAGTTGTCCCTCCAACCCCCCCTGCTTCCCATGAAATTCGGAGGACCACAGCACCTACTTCAGAGTGGCTGAGGGAATTCAGATGCTAACAGCCTATAAAGTGCTCCTATTCTTCTTGGCACATATCAAGCACCCAGCAGATACGGATTTATTGGAACATTTCATTTCCTCTTGGTCAGACCATGAAGCTGCTTTACAGATGAGGAGACTGAGGCTCAGACGGGAAGAGCAAGTTGCCCAAAGACCAAGAGTGGACCGTGAACTCAGGTCTGCCTGCCTTCAGCAGCCACCCACGACCCGGAAACCCCTCTGCCGAGACTGATATGTGGACACGGCCCCCTCCAACCTACCTGGTACTGCTTGAGGACGCCGTTGACCATGAGCGCCGACTGCTTATCCACCCTCTCGGTGACGGCGTGGGCCACGGCATAATAGGACTGCAGGCCACGAGCGAGGGCCTGCGACACGCCATACTCGTCATCAACATCTTGCTTGGCGTTCCTGGGAGCAAGATCAAAGGGCCGTGTGAAGACACACATTCCTACTTGTGACAATGTGCTTCTGACACAAACCTCCGCAGAGCAGCTTTATGGCCTGAGCCGGAAGATAAGCCAAAGAGCAGTCGCACAGTCTGAGGACAGGCAAGGCAGCAAACACTAACCCAGGTGGGCCCGAGACTAGACTTCTGGGTGCCATGGGACTCAAGTCACTGTCACACCACAGAAGGAATGTTACTTTTAGCCAGAGGCTGGTCACATGGCCCACCCTCTCTACCCGGAGTTCAAGAGTCTAAAGGGAAAATGTACACTCAACAGCCTTGCACAAACCAGAATCATTTATACTTTGGCTGTTTTGTAATCTAATCTAGAATTCTTCAATTAAAAAAACCTCTTTTTATTATTTTATTTTATTTTTTTGGCCGCACCACGAGGCTTGCAGGATCTTAGTTCCCCAACGAGGGATCAAACCCAGGTTCCTGGCAGTGAAAGTGTAGAGTCCTAACCACTGGACCGCGGGGGAACTCCCTGGAATTCTTTTAAAAAATGACTTTAAACTATTTACATTTTATTAATGTGAGAGATATATGTGATCCAACTATCATATTGTTTTATTTTTATATCTTCTTACAAATCCTGCACAGTGAGCTGGGTTTTCCTAGCTTAGAGGGTTTTTTCCTATATATTTCTGATGGATTCAAAAGACTGTATGTTTGGGCTTCCCTGGTGGTGCAGTGGTTGAGAGTTCGCCTGCCGGTGCAGGGGACACGGTTCGTGCCCCGGTCTGGGAAGATCCCACATGCCGCGGAGCGGCTGGGCCCGTGAGCCATGGCCGCTGAGCCTGCGTGTCCGGAGCCTGTGCTCCACAACGGGAGAGGCCACAACAGTGAGAGGCCCGCATACCGCATATGGTTCCCTTCATACCTAGTGCTTATGTAATACATAATGCTTTCAATGCTCTATTTAAGAGTATCCATTAACTCTGTCCTGTAAGCCACAATAAAATTGGTATGCTAATTGTAACTGTGCTTACAACGGCAAAGGATGAGAAATAACCTAAACGACCACCACCAGACTCAGGCCACAACGTGAGACCATGACAGGGATGCCATGACAGGATGGCCAGATGTGGAGGAGTGAGACACCCTGTGTGCACAGACATAGGAGCAAGGGGCAGAACACTGTGCCCCAGATACACTCGTGCAAATGAAACAAAACACAGATACACGTCATGCTTATTGATGCACAAAATATGTGTGGAAGACACGCGATGCTGGAAGCAGTTTCTTCCAGGGAGGAGATGGGGAGGGCTGCGGCTGAAGCACAAGCATGAAGCGGACTTCTGTGGTAAACCCGACTATCTCTTTTTTATTTATTTATTTTTTATTTGTTTATTTTATTTTTGGCTGTGTTGGGTCTTCATTGCTGCGTGCAGGCTTTCTGTAGTTGCAGCGAGTGGGGGCTACTCCCCGTTGCGGTGTGCGGGCTTCTCACTGCGGTGGCCTCCCCCGTTGCGGAGCATGGGTTCTAGGCGCATGGGCTTCAGTAATTGTGGCATGCGGGGTCAGTAGTTGTGGCCCACGGGCTCTAGAGCGCAGGCTCAGTAATTGTGGCCCATGGGCCCAGCTGCTCCGCGGCACGTGGGAACCTCCCGGACCAGGGAATTGAACCCACGTCCCCTGCATCGGCAGGCAGATTCCCAACCACTGCACCACCAGGGAAGCCCCCCGACTATCTCTTTGTTGGTTTTTTTTTTTCTCTTGTGGTACACGGGCCTCTCACTGTTGTGGCCTCTCCCGTTGCGGAGCACAGGCTCCGGACGCGCAGGCCCAGCGGCCATGGCTCACGGGCCCAGCCACTCCGTGGCCTGTGGGATCCTCCAGGACTGGGGCACGAACCCATGTCCCCCACATCGGCAGGCGGACTCTCAACCACTGCACCACCAGGGAAGCCCCCGACTATCTCTTAAACACAGGATGAGCCACGTGAATGGACGGAACGTCATTCGACCCCTACAAACATCAGTGACACCTGAAGTAAGTCAATCCGGTGTTTGTGGTCCCACAGCGGCTGCCGGCTGGACAGTGCTGTCCAGGGAGAAGCTGGGATTCTAACAGCTTCTGCCGGTGCCACCTCGCGGGAAGCTGGTGGAGGGAGGGGTGCCTTACTCAATGATGTGCCGGGCGTCCACCTCGGAGACGTCGTCGCTGTCTGGATCTGGAATCTTCTTCTTGTCCTCCACGGGCAGGGCGGGAGGCTGTGCTGGCTGCGGCTGCTCCTCCTCCTCCTCCTACCAAGAGACAAGCCGGTTCACCTCAGGTCACCCCAGAGTGATGCTGTTACAACCCACGTGCCCTCTTCCTACCAATCCCAAAACATGTCACGCTTTTTATTTGCACATTCTTTTAATTGCTCAGTATATGATTTTTAGTTTTCTTAGCAGAGTCCAGACCTTCTTTTTAAGGACCTCTCAGGGTATGCTGTACTTCTGTTGCACTGAGTCCCCCGTACACAATGCATACTACTAAAACAGCTTTTCCCTTCTCTTGGATTTCCTAGGTATTAAACATTTTATAGGTAACCTTCAATATTTATTGCTCTTGATTTACTTTCAGCTTTACTGACATGGCCAAAATGTCTAAAATATGTCAAATAAGACTGATGATAAGGCATCATCGTTTACTAAGAGGTTTTCTATAAATCTGTATATTAAGTATGAGTGTCGTGTTTCATTAAAAGGATTTTTCAACATTTACTGAGCAGATAATAAAGGGGATTTTGTATGACATACTGAAAAAACACACACAAATACATTTCCCAATATTAAACCATCCTTGTATTCCTGTATAAATCACACAAAATGTGTGTGTATAATGGAACTGCTATAAAACTAAAAAGAAAAAGTATCTGTCATTAACCTGTCAAATTATTCCAGTCAAAACCCAGTGGGATTTCCTTTGGAGCATGCAAAATAATTTTATAGATCATTTGGAATAATGAACAGGTAATGACAGCACAAACATTTTGGTCAAAAAAATCATAACCGGTAAGACTTATCCTACTTGATATTACCATGCTGGGAATTAAAATAGGAATGGGAAGCCTGGCTAATTCCAATGAAAGGGGTCAGCAAATTTTCCCCTCAAAAAGTGACTTTAGGGGCTTCCCTGGTGGCTCAGTGGTTAAGAATCCGCCTGCCAGTGCAGGGGACACAGGTTCGAGCCCTGGTCCGGGAAGATCCCGCGTGCCACGGAGCAACCAAGCCCATGCGCCACAACTACTGAAGCCTGCGCACGTAGAGCCTGTGCTCTACAACAAAGGGTAGCCCCCGCTCGCCGAAACTAGAGAAAACCCACGTGCAGCAATGAAGACCCAACGCGGCCAAAAATAAATAAATAAATAAATTTATTTTTAAAAAAAAAGAATTCCCCTAGTCCTCCTGGGGAGTAGGTGGGGAGAAAGGTGGGGATGCTTGACAGCCCTGCCTGAGGTCTGACTTATATTTAAAAAAAAAAAAGTGGCTTTAAAGCTGGACAAAAGTAGCACAGGCAACCATTTCAGAGCCCTAGGAGTCTGAGAAGCATTAACACTGAGAAAACTGCTGAGCCTTGGGCAAGAAGAGTGGGAGTTTGTGGAGTTCTTACTTTGGGGTGCTTTCATCTCTCCTACCCTCAGCTCCCAGTTCTGATGTGCAAGTTCTCCCAGGGTGGGCAAGCCATGAGGCCTGGCAGCTGAGGCTGATGGGGACTTAGTCATTTTGTAGCAGTGGACGATGCCCAGGCCAGCAGCACTGTCAGTGGAGGTGAGGACCTCAGCCATGGGTGGGGAAAGCATATTACTGGCTGAGGGCTGTGCACAGGCACAGAGGAAACGAGAAAGGGAGAAAGGGCCCAGCAGAAAGTAAAAGCCAGGGTGGGCTTGAAAATGGCCCAAACTTGGAATGTGTTCTTCTACACACACTGATCCACTGGCTGGAGAAAGAAGCCTTACTGGCTCAAGGTGTTTGAGTACAAACTCTCCCCAATCACTGGAAGACTACTAAGTTATGAAGAAACACAACCCACTCCTAGAGAGCCAGGATTAAAACTAAAAATGAGAAAAAAACAAAAACTGAGCAGAGACACCAAAGGCAGCACACACCCTGGGAAAACATTCCACAGATTCAGCCTAGGTAATTTACTAAACAAACAAAAACACCAAAAAGAACGCACAGGGGTGGAAGTCAGGATCCAGAGTGGTTAAAATAGCCTTCCACTAAACATTCATTACAAGACAAACAAAAAGGAGGAGAATGCGATACGAACTCAGGGGAAAAGACAGTCGGTTGAGCCTGTCTCTGTTCCTAGATGTTGGACTTAGCATACAATCTTCCAAGCAGCTATTACTATATATGTGTTCAAAGCTATTGTAAATATGTTCAAAGAAATAAAGGAAACCATCTTTAAGTAGAATGTATCAACAAATACAGAGTCTCAATAGAAGACAGAAATGATAAACTTCCCAAATTTTATGAAAAACATGACTCTACCAAGCCAAGAATCTGAACAAACACTAACGAGAAGAAACACAAAGAGAGAGTTCACAAACTTCTAAAACCCAAAGGCAAACAGAAAATCTTGGAAGCAAGAAAGAGAAAATGAATCATCATGTACAAAGGAGCATCCATATAATTAGTAGCTAGACTTTCATCTGAAGTCTAGCTAGACTTTCATCAACAGGAGACCAGAAAGTAGTGGAATGACATATTCAAAAGGAAAAAGACTGTCAACAAAGAACTATATGTCCAGCTACACTATCTTTGAAAATGAAAGCTAAAGAAATACATTCCCAGAAAAACAAAGGCTGAGAGAATCTGTTGCTAGCAGACATGCCTTATAATAAATGGTAAAAGAAATCTTTCAATATATTCAATATCTTGCAATAACCTGTAATGGAAAAGAATCTGAAAAAGAATACACATACACACACACACGTATAACTGAACTGCTTTGCTGTACACCTGAAACTAACACAACATTGTAAATTATACTTTGATTTTAAAAAATGGTTTAAAAAAGAAGTCTTTCAAGCTGAAAGGAAATGATAGGTGATAGTAAATTGAATCCATAAGGAGAAATAAAAAACATCAGAAATGGTAAATGCATGTATCAATATAAAAGACTCTATAAATATATTTTCCCTTATTTCTTCTTTTCCAACTTCTTTAGACTAAGTCATAAGATTATATCAGGTATTAATTAGAGGACTATATTGTTGGGTTTATAACATATATAGATGTAACATATGTGACAATAACAGCACAAAGGAAGAAGAACAAATGGAGCTAAGCTAGAACAAAATTTCCATATTTTACCAGAATGTAGTTAGTATTAACCTGAAGCATATGATGATAAATTAAGATGCATATCATAATCCCCGGAGCAACTACAAAGAAAATAACTTTAAAAATATAGTAAAAATTTGTACTTCCCTGGTGGCGCAGTGGTTAAGAATCCACCTGCCAATGCAGGGGACACAGATTGGAGCCCTGGTCCAGGATGATCCCACATGCCGCGGAGCAACTAGGCCCATGCGCCATGACTACTGAGCCTGTGAGCCACAACTGCTGAGCCCACGTGCCACAACTGCTGAAGCCCTCGTGCCTAAATTCCGTGCTCCACCACAAGAGAGATCAGTGCAATGAGAGGCCCGTGCACTGCAACGAAGAGTAACCCCACTTGCCACAACTAGAGAAAGCCCCCGCTCACTGCAACTGGAGAAAGCCCCCATGCAGCAATGAAGACCCAATGCAGCCAATAAATTAATTAAATTTTAAAGATTAATTTAAATTAAAAAAAAATCAGGGACTTCCCTGTTGGAGCAGTGGTTAAGAATCCGCCTGCCAGTGCAGGGGACACGGGTACGAGCCCTAGTCAGGGAAGATCCCACACGCCGGGGAGCAACTAAGCCCTTGAGCCACAACTACTGAGGCCACGTGCCACAACTACTGAAGCCCACGCCCCTAGAGCCTGTGCTCTGCAACAAGAGAAGCCACCGCAATGAGAAGCCTGCGCACCACAACAAAGAGTAGCCCACACTCACTGCAACTAGAGAAAGCCTGCATGCAGCAACGAAGACCAAACACAGCCAAAAATAAAAATTAATAAATAAATTTTAAAAAAATCAAATGATCAACTTAATAGAAAAAGTATGAGATAAAATCTAGTTCACACATGCTAAAAACTCTCAATAAACTAGGAACAGAAGAGGATTTACTCAACCTGATAAAGGGCATCCATGAAAAATCTACAGCTAGGGCTTCCCTGGTGGCACAGTGGTTGGGAGTCTGCCTGCCGACACAGGGGACACGGTTCGTGCCCCGGTCCGGGAGGATCCCACATGCCGCGGAGCGGCTGCGCCCGTGAGCCATGGCCGCTGAGCCTGCGCGTCCGGAGCCTGTGCTCCGCGACGGGAGGGGCCCCAGCAGTGAGGGGCCCCAGCAGTGAGAGGCCCGCGTACCGCAAAAAAAAAAAAAAAAAAAAAATCTACAGCTAACACCAAACAATAATGACAGACTAACTGCATAACCCTTAAGATCGAAAACAAACTAAGGATAGCTGCTCTAGACACTTCTATTCAACATTGTACTGGAGGATCTAGCCAGTGCAATAAGGCAAGAGAAGGAAATCAAAGATTAAAGGCACATAGAGGGGAAAGGAAGAAGTATTGAAGAATTATGGTTATTTATGAATGACATAATCCTGCATGTGAAAATCCTAAGGAATCAAACAAACAAACCAAAAACCCTATTGGAATTACCAATATGAGTTCAGCAAGTGCGCAGAACACGAGATTAACATTTTAAAAATATACATATAAAATTGTATTTCCACGTAATAGCAACAACACATCAAAAAATAAAATCAAGGAAACAATTCTATTCATAGTAGCAGAAAAGGAATAAAATATTTAAGAATAAATTTAACAACAAAAAAAGCAAAACCTATACTCTGAAAACTACAAATCATTGCTAAGAGAAATTAAAGATGATCAAAATAAATAGAGAGACATCTCATGTTCATGGACTGGAAAACTAAATATTGTTAGGATGTGATTCTCCCAAAACTGATCTCTATATTCAACACAATCTCAATAAAAATCCCAGCAAGCCTTTTTGTAGTAACTGATGAGCTGATCCTAAAGTGTATATGGGAATGCAAAGTACCTAGAATAGCCAATAGAGCAAACAAGCAAATAACACTACCTGATTTCAAAACTTGTAATACAAGACAGTGTGGTAGTGGCACAAACACAGACATACTAATAAACAGGAAAACACTGAGCATCAGAAACAAACCCTTAATTTTATGGTCAACTGATTTCCCACGAAGTTACCAAGACTATTCATGGGAGAAAGAACAGTCTGTTCATCAGCTGGTGCTGGGTAAGAAGGTTATCCATAGCAAAAAAACCCCACAAAAAACAAACTTAGACCCGTACCTCAAACCATACACAGAAATCAACTCAATTATGACCCTAAATGTGAGAGCTTAAATATAAAACTTCTAAAAGAAAACATAAGAGAAAAACCTTTGTGACTTCAAACAGCTCTTAGATACAACACCAAAGGCACAATTCATATAAGAAAAAAACGATAAATGGATTTCATCAAAATGAAATATTTCTGCATTTCAAAAGACATCACTGAGGGAAAAGAAAAGCAAACAGACTGGGAGAAGATGTCTGCAAGCTACATATCTGAACAGGGACACATATCAAGAATATATAAAGAATTCTTAGGACTCACTGATGAGATAACAAACAACCGAATTAAAAATGGGCAAAAGATTTCAATAGATTTTCACCAAAGAAGATATTTGAACGGTGCATAAACATTTGAAAAGATGCTCAACATCATTATTTACTAGGAAAATGCAAAGTAAAACCACAAGATACCACTACACACCCACAAGGATGGCTATATAATGTAAAGAACAGATAATGCCAAGCGTTGACAAGGATATGGAGAAACTGGAACCTGTGAAAAGGTACAACTACTTCAGGCAACAGTTTGTCAATTCCTTAAAAAGTTAAACATAAACTTACCATACGACCCAGCAATGCCACTCCTAAGTATCTACCCAAGAGAAATGAAAACGTATGTCCACACAAGGACATGTATGTGAACGTTTACAGCAATGCTATTCATAATAGCAGAAAATGGAAAAAAACACAAATGCCCACCCATTGGTGTATGGATAAACAAAGTGTGGTACATCTATACAATGGAACATGACTCAGGAATAAAACAAACTTCTTTTTTAAGACCTTAACTTTTATTAATGGTTTCTCCACTTATTTTTAAAATATTTTTTAAATGAGATAGAAATTACTTAGAGTAAAATGTACATATCTAATCAAAAATTTTGATAAGTTGAGTTTGATATGTTTGGAATTATGCATATAAGGGTTAAATCTACACCTTCAAAGCATAGAATATTTTCTTTTTTTTTGCTTTTCCATTATGGTTTATTACAGGATATTAAATATAGTTTCCTAAGTGTAGGACCTTGCTGCTAAATAGTGCTGTTATGAACAGAGGGGTGCATGTATCATTTTGAATTATAGTTTTATCCAGATAAATACCCAGGAGTGGGATTGCTGGATCATATGGCAACTCTATTTTTAGTTTTTTGAGGAAACTCCATACTATTCTCTACAGTGGCTGTACCAGTTTACATTCCCACCAGTAGCATAGGAGGGTTCCCTTCTCTCCACACCCTCTCCAGCATTTGTTATTTGTAGACTTTTTAATGATGGCCATTCTGACCGGTGTGAGGTGGTACCTCATTGTAGCTTTGATTTGCATTTCTCTAATAATTAGCGATGTAAAACAAACTTTTGGTGTACAGACAACATGGATGAAAATCAAAAACACACCACGTAAAATAAGCCAGACACAAGATACATGTTGTATAATTCCATTTATGTGAAATTCCGGAAATGGCAAATCTATAGAGACAGAGCAGACCAGTGGTTTCCTGGGGCTGGAGGAGTTAGCAAGAACAAACTGTAAATGGGTGAGATGTCATTTGGGGTGACAGAAACGTTCTAAAGCTGGTGTAGAGTAATGATTGCGCAACTCTATAAATTCACTAAAAAATCACTGAATTGTACTCTTACTGTGGGTGCATTTTACATATGTAAATTATATCTCCATAAAGCTGTTTAAAAAATTACAACAAAATGTTACTGGTCTAAGAATTATTAGAACTTTAAAAGAAACTGAACAGTACATCAACTATACCTCAATTTAAAAAAATATTAAATAAAATAAAAACCAGAAACATAAATTATAAAAGAAAAAGAAACTGAACATGTGACCCTAAAAAGACACCAGTGTGTCTTTAATATTAGTTTTTTTTAAATATCACAGATCAATGGAGAAGGGATGGACTAACAGTATACCAACTGGCTTAACACTACTACTGGGAAGGGGGAAAAAGGGCACCATCTCAAGCCCTACCCAAAATAAATTCCAGATGACCTGAAGAGGTAAGAGGACAAACCAAAAGAAAGATATAGGTGAACACCAAGCTGATTTCAGGCTGGGGTAAATACATAAAGAACACTTAAAAATCCAGTAAAAAAACATAACTGATTAGAAATGGGCAAATGAAGCAAACCATTCACAGAAGAAATCTAGATAGTAACACCTGGAAAAATGTTCAACCTTAATAAGCAAATATCTGCCCATTAAAATTCCCTTTTTAAAATCTTATGGAGGTGGCCAAAGCTTTTTAAAAGCCTTGTGAGACACTCTTACCCCAGCTGAAGGGGGAGTGCAGGACAGCACCCTTCTGGATGCTAACTGTGGAAAACAAGCCCTGCTTTTGGACACTGCATCCCCGGGCTCCCTCTGAGTCACCGTTCCCGAGGAGGCCACCCAGGACAGACAGAGGAACAAGGCTCTCATCAGAGCTTTGTCAACCAGCAAACATCCAAAAATCACCGTAACGTGGAATAATTAAATGATTTAGAGAACATACACAATAAATGCGACCATCTGTAACATTGCCGAAGAATAGATTACAAGGGGCCAACATGTATGTGATTTCATGCTCACTACTTCATACCAATATTTTCTGGAGGGGAGAGCTGTTTGGGCGTCTGAAATGTGGCCCGTACGACTGAGGACATATGAGTGAGGACATTTACATTTTACTTAATTAAGTGAAAGTGGAAACAGTCATGTGTGGCTAGAGGCTACGGTACTGGACAGCGCAGCTCTAAAGCACCAACTTTCAGCCTCACCCCCTGCCCCTGTGCCTATCTCCTGCCCCATTTGATGCCGGGCTGGAGCAGGAGAGGATCACTGTGCCTGCTGTGCGTAGAGGTCACACCACACAGCACTGTGGGCCTCGACAGCCAGGAAATGAACTCTTACCTCCTCCTCTTCTTCTGAGCCACTCTCTTCACTATCAGATCTTGGAGCTACTTCATACCTAAAAAAAAAAAAAAAAAAATCAGCATTTTAATATAAATCTCCCCAGAACCAGCATGATTCACTTTCCTTAGCAAATTGGCCTGTTTCCAAATGTAAGCAGGATCACCCCCAGCTGCCAGCTCCCCTGGAATGAGGCCGACCGTTGACTCAGGATCCTGGCTGCCTCTGGAACACGAAGCCCCACTCACCCCGGGTTCATTTCCAGCCAGGCCTCCAGCTGCCCTGCTTTGGGTGCGTCTGTGCCCGTGAGGATCTTCCCACTCTCCACGTGGATCACTTTCACCGGAAGGTCGCTCATTTGGCTGGTCTCATCCAGAGGCTGAAAAAGTCACATGTGTGACTTGAGGTTCTATAGAGTCTATACCTTCGGTGCCCCACTAACCATGGCCAACTGGAGAAGTGCCCTCCCAACTCCACGTCCAGAAAACAGCACACCAATGTGACCAGTGGTTGTGGAGATGGGTTAGCTGCATATTAACCATTCAGTAAAAAAAAATATATATAACCCATTGACGACAGTTGTTTCTTGGAAGGAACTGATATCCACGTTTTAATTTTCAAATAGGTAACATATAGTTCAAATTCAAGAGTATAGAGTGTGTACTCTCCCTCCCTATCCCCCTGCCCAACAGTTTCTCTTCACAGGCGCCCATCAGCATCATTTTCTTGTGTGTTCTCCCAGATCAATTCCACACATAAGGAACACGGACTTACGTACTCCTTCCTTTTTTACCCAAGTGACTATGCTATTCCCATTTTTCTGGTCCTTGAGTTATTCAATTTATATTGTATTTGTAGACTGCAACAAGGGTCCTCATTCTTTTCTGTTAAACAGCTAACTAGAATATTTGAAAAATAAAACTTCCTTGTAGCAACAAATACGGAATTCCTCAATTTCCTGAGATATCAACTTGGGATGAAGTTTTCCCCTTCATCAGCTCCTTCACATTTCCTGGTGAAAACCTTCAGGACGAGGATGAGGATGGAAACCTTTGTTTGCATCTACCAGGAACTTATACCTCCCACGCCTCCCTCCATCAACACTGACCCACAGCAGAGATTAGTCTCCATGCAGGTTAAAATCTCACCCTTAAAGTGGCCCACCATAAAGCGGAACAGAAAGCCCACGCCCCACGAATGAGCTCTGCAGGCTGCCTCAATCAGTGACTTTCACCCCTGAGTCCTTCCTGAGAGCGGTTATGGTGCTGATGCCGGGATGTCCCCACACCCAGAATCCTGACAGAACTGCTCTGGGGTGAGGCTTGGGCCTCTCTGGTTTTCAAAAGCTCCCCAGCTGATTCTGACGTTCAGCCAAGGCTGCGAACCACTGGGTGAGAACAAGGACAATCAGCAGCCATCATCAAGTGATGGTTCCCGTTACTAAACAGGATGAGCAGCTGCAGTGATTCCCCAACAGAATTCCCCGAGTCACGCTTTCCTGTGATGTGACTTCCCCCTTGAAAGCCACAAATGGCCGTGTGAAGGCTTAGCACTGTAGTAAAATGCCAGCCCACATTTCTCTTAAAAAATTCAACTTAACGTTTCAAATAAAATCACGTGAAATAAGAATGTTATTTGAGTTAATCACTATAGTCATTCATTTCTGGGAATCAGGCCAACAGGAAAAAGTGTGCCATCTGCTACGGACTGGACTGTGTCCCCTCCAAAATTCATATGCCCAAGCCCCAGCTCTCCAATGTCACTGTATTTGGAGATGGGGCCCTTGGTGGGTAATTAGGGTTAAATTAGGTCATATGGGTGGGGCCCTCAGGATGGCATTAGTGCCCCTATAAGAAGAAACACCAGAGCTTGCTCTCTCTCCCCCCATGTGAGGACACAGCCAGAAGGCAGCAGTCTACAAGCCGGGAAGAGAGTACTCAGCAGGAACCAACCTTGCTGCTCCTTGATCTCCAATTTCCAGCCTCCAGAACTATAAGAACATATATTTCTGCCATTTAAGCCATGCAGGCTACCAAAAAAAAAACAAAAACAAGAACAAAAACAACAAAAGGGACTTCCCTGGAGGTCCAGTGGTTAAGACTCTGCTTCCACTGCAGGGGGTGTGGTTCAATCTCCGGTCGGGGAATTAAGATTCCATGTGCCATGTGGTGAAAAAAAAAAAAAAAAAAAGCCACACAGGCCATGGTGTTTTGTTATGGCAGCCCAGCTAAGAGAGCAAGGGGGCTCATTACAACAATGTGTGGGATAGAAAGAAAGGAAACAATGGAAATAGCCACCCATAGGGGAGGGGACATATGGTGGTCCATCAGAGCTGTTCAGTGCAGGATCTAACAGCTACAGATGGGAAACAACTTAGATAGCTATCAATCTGAACGATGAAAGAGATCCTAGTACAATCAATACAATAAAATGAAAGAACTAATTGCTTGATATGGAAAGTGGTCCAAGATACCTGCTACGCAGGAAAAGTCTTGCTATGTGTAGACTGACCCAAATGGTCCCAAAACAAAACAAAGAGAATACAAGCACAAAGGTTTCTGGAAAGATATAGAGAGAGACATCAACCAGGGATCAACGTGCATGCTTGTGAGAGAACAGGCACCATGGGGGCTTCTACTTTTCATGTTATCATTACATTTACGTTTCATGTTATCATTATCATTTTTTTCCTAGAAGTATTACATTTATAAGTCAGAGAAGCAAGCACTAGCCACCTCTCTAGTACGGTGGCATTAGAAAGAGTCAGGTAAGTGTACATGAGCTAACTTGGAAAGACTCAGATACAATACCAGGCGGGGAAAAGAAAACCACCTGGAGACACAGGTACGGAAAAGGTCCCAGAGCAAACACACCGAAGGTTACTCAGGTTTCTCTCTGGGAAGGGGGACTGAGGAGGGGTTGGAGGAGGTGGTAAAGGCCACACCTTGCATTCACACCTCACTATGCAGCCTTCTTTCTCACTAGTGTGTTAACCGAGAGGAGGCGGACAAGAGTGCCGGACAAGAGTGCCGTGGAAAAGACTCAAAGACTCGTGTGTGGGTACGGCCACCCCTCTCTGAGTGGGCCTCACTGCACGGTTCTGACTTTTGGAACCAGGCTAGTATTTCACATCCTAAATAAAGAAATGAGGAGTAAATAAATAAAACCAACAAGCGTTGGGGGGAGCCTCACTAACGGGGGCACAAGGGGAGAACTAATCTTCTGAATGCAGTATCTGGAGCATGTACTTTCAACTTCAGACAAACACTGACCTCTAGCTAGGAGGTTTCTTTCTTTTTATTTTTTCATAAATTTATTTATTTTATTTATTTATTTTTGGCTGCATTGGGTCTTCGTTGCTGCATACATGCCTTCTCTAGTTGCAGGGAGCAGGGGCTACTCTTCGTTGCGGTGCGCGGGCTTCTCACTGTAGTGGCTTCTCTTGTTGTGGAGCATGGGCTCTAGGTGCACGAGCTTCAGTAGCTGTGGCATGTAGCCTTAGCAGTTGTGGCTCAAGGGCTCTAGAGCGCAGGCTCAGTAGTTGTGGTGTACAGGCTTAGTTGCTCCGCAGCATGTGGGATCTTCCCAGACCCGGGCTCGAACCCGTGTCCCCTGCACTGGCAGGCGGATTCTTAACCACTGTGCCACCAGGGAAGCCCCTAGCTACGAGGTTTCTTTTGCAGAGGGGTACATGTTAGCCATTCTGAATGTACTTCCTGAACAGTCTAGGACTGAGGAAATGAGGGCCTATCTCGTGGCAGACGGGGGTCAGGTTTTGGGCTATTATAAGGTGGACAGGGAGAAGGAGAAAAAGAACCCCGTGGTACTGGATTAGAATTGGAAGTATCAGTGTGACCTCAGTATTTTTAATACTACAATAACTAGTTAATATATATAACTAGCAAGGTGGATGTGTGTGCATACACACATCTGTTTCCTAGATCTGTCCACTGAGAGGGCCCAGAAGCAATGACAACTCAGTAGCAACGAAAACATCTAGATCATGGTTTCCAAATATTCTTCTCTGATTAAAGGAATCAGGGCTCCTTGGAGAAATGACCGAGTCCAGGACTCGGGCAGAGAAAGCAGAAGATGAGCCTGGGCCATTTTCGTGTGCAAGGAAGTCAGAAACCCCTCAAAGAACGATGGGGACACATCAAAAGCAGGCAGGAGCCAATGTGAAGGGGTTCCTACTGGTCCAAAATGGAACAATTTGAGCATCAAAATACATAATAATAGTGCAGGATTAAACTAAGTAAATCCATTAAACTAAATAAGAATCCATGAGTCAGTACCAAGGGTTGCCAAACTATGAACAAGCCAAATAAAAAAGAAGGGAAGGCTTTTCCTTCCTGCAGAAAGTCAACTAATAAATGCAGAAGAAAAGACAAGGGAAAAAAACATCACCATTTTGTAACCATTATGGCAAAAACTGATACAGGCAAAGACAACAGATGATGAAACAGCCGATGAAAGTTTGAGGAATCACGTTATCTTTACATAGTCTGAGTATCTCTGCACAAGGTACTTAATCTTTACAGCTGGAGACACCTTGGCGGCCACCAAAAGGTCAATATCACCAGTGGGGGAAGAAATCTACGCCACACACTCCTGATATGACGCACAGAGAAGGACCTGGTGTCACTTCAGGGTTTTCTGTTGCTGTGAAGGACACTGGAGGGTCAATTGTGAAACCTTAACAAGGGCTGTGAATTAGATCACGGTATTGCGTCAATGTTCATTTCCTGGTTTTGATCACTGTACAGTTGTGGAAAAGAACAGCCTTGCTTTTAGGATGTACACATTGAAACACACAGAGGGGTAAAAAGCCCTCACGTGTGCATCTGACCCTCGAATGGTTTAAGAAAAAATAATGACACGTGAAAAGTGGGAATCTGGGTGAAGAGTATGCAGGAACTCTCTGCACTGTTCTTAACCTCTCCTGTGAGCCTGAAACTTTAAAGGGAAAACTGAGAAATAAATAACAGCACGTGCATAGAAAAAGCTCTGGAAGGAAACGCACCCAGTAGTAAACAATATTTTCTCTGGGCAGTGGGAGCGAGGAAGGGTGGAGTGTGGCAGGGGACCTATGTGGATTTTTACCATTGTCATATACTTTCATAATTTCAAAGGGAAAAAAAAAATTTTTTAAGGATGAAGTAGACCTAACCTCTGGGGCTGGGCTGGCATTTCCACAGAAGAAACCCCTGGTTCCTCACCTCGCCATCAGGTCCGATTGCAGGTGTCTGTCCTTCAGCGTTTTCTGCCTTCTGGAAGGAAAGAGAGAGACAGTCACCCCCCGACCGGGGAGGCCGAGTCACACGCGCACACAGCCGCTCCAGTCCCAACGAGGGGCGCACCTTCTTTTTCTTCTTCTTCTTCTTCTCCTTGGCGACCTGGGCGGCCTTGTGCTGCCGCACCAGCTCCGTGAGGTTAGCCACGTACTCGTCCGTCTGCTGCAGGAGGTAGGCCAGGCGCTTGTCCTTCTTCTGGTCGATGAGCTTGCGGTACCCTTCCTCGTCCTCGGCCTGCAGAAGCGTGCGGTTATGGCGCGTGCCCGTGACACATTCGTCCACCAGCACCCAGGGCGGGCAAACCAGACTCAAGGAGCCCGCGGGGCTGCAGTTAACCAGCAGCCGGACCCACATTTAGGGAGCACTGAGCTCACACCCGGGGCTGCGCTATATTCACACCTTTCACATAACTACTGACTCCCCTTCAGAACTTCCCCAGTTCCCACCCCGGGCCAAGCTCCTTGGGGACCTGCTGGACAGACATGGTCCTGCCAAGGGCCATTTAAAAGCTCTGTCTCCTATGTCCATAAACACACCCAAATCCCAACCCTTCTCTCCACCTGCTCCGAGCCACTGCTCTCCCACAGACCGTCTGCTCCGGCTTTCTGAGAACACATCGGATCATGTCACCCACCCCCACCACCGCCATCCCAGCTTACAGCCTCCCTCGGCTCCCCATCATGGTCAGAATTAAATCCAAAGCCCTCCCCATGGCCTGCAAGGCCCCGCGTGGCTGCCTCCGGGACTCCAACCTCACTCTGCCCCCACGCCACGCTGTTCCAGGGGCCACTGGCTGAGCCTCACACACGGCTGCTTCCCGCCTCGGGCCTTTGCCCTCAGCTCCTTTGCCGGGAGGTGCTTCCCCTGGATCTCCGCATTCATGGGTCACACCCACCCTGCCCATAACACCCAGTCAATCCCCACTCCCTGGCCCTGCTTTGTTCTCCTCAGTGCGCTTTTCACCACCCAAAACTATCTTGTCTGTCTCGCTTGGGCATCTGTCTCTCTAGGGCCAGCACGAGCCCCACCAAGGGCAGGGACTCTCCTTCGTACTAACGTGGCCCTGTCCACTCAGCAGTGCCTGTCAATATCGGCCCGGTCAGAGAACCCTCCACGAATAATACATGGTCAGACGGGAAGGGTGGGGTGGGAGGCCAGGCTCACACCATCGGCGGCTCCTCCACCGGGAGGGGTGCCACCTCCACCTTCCAGAGAGCACAGAGCAGCCAGTTAACCAGCTGAGGTCACGCGGTCACCGATGGTCAATGAGTGGGCAAAGGTCTGGAGTCAGGTCTTTCGGACTCCCAAACCCAAGCCCTTTCTTTCTCTGTGCTGCCTCCAACTCTGAGCACCAAAATGCCCCGGCGTAACCCTGGGCGGCTGATCTGCCCCCATGCCTGCAACACCCAGCACCGCGTGAAGGGACCCGGGTCATGATGGCCAACTGTACCATGAGCCTCCGCATTCTCTCCTTCTCGATTCTTTCATTCTCCTTCTTCTGTTCCCGCTCAGTGTTGGCGTGGTATGTGGCCACCGCCTTCGTGAGTTTCTGGATTTTGCCTGTGACCGACCTGTGATATTCTTTGAAATCCTTGGCGTGCTGAAGAATGCTGTTGAGGTATTCCTGCAGGACGCACACAGAAGAGCAGACTGACTATGGGACAGGAGTTGCCGTGGTGTCACCCCAAGTGAGACGAAACTTTAAAGGGGGCCTGGTGAAAGCCAAGGGGACGCAACCAAAACGATACCGAGACACTGTCTGCCTACGAGGCCCAACATTCTCTGCGTGGACTGTGTGGTGAAAAGGGACCCCCCTCTCATGCACAGCAGACGGGGCAAATGCCCTGGCTGAGACAACCTGGCAGTGTCTGCCATCCGCTGCAAAATGCACCCGCCCTCCCACCAAATCAATCACTGCTAGCGATTTATTTTAAGGAAAATAGCAGAGATTGGCCCAAAAACTCAAGGACAAGAATGCCTATCCCAGTGTTACTTTTAAAACTGGAAAGCTGAGAGTACACTGCATGTCCCCAAACAGGGAAACGGTTTCATAAATCACGGGATGCTGGGCACACTGAGATGGACTACAACACATATGTTAAAATCATGCTTCAATAATACTTTAGACAGCTCAATGTGCATATATATATATTTTTAAAGGCAGCTGTTTAACTTTTGATTACTATATGTATATAGACAAAAAAGGTCAGAATGATATACCAAGATATTAACAGTAGTTAACACTGAATATTGACTTCTCTGTTATTTTAAACTATGCCAGTAACAGACACTGTTTGGAGGCAAACTTTAGAAAACATAAATGAATGAACAAACAGAATCACCCCAAATCCTACTTGAGTAGAGATTTTGGTTTCCTTGACGGATCTTGTATCAACCTCAGTCAGATCACTGACTGAGGACCCTCCATGGTTTAGGACCCTCCGTGGCTCCCACCTCACTCACAGCACAAGCCCAAGTCATCCTCCCGCCCCACAGGGCCCTGCACGCTCTGCCCATCACCTCCCCATTCTCACCTCCTCCCACCCTCCCCCTCGCTCACCCCACTCTGACTATACTGGGTCATTGTTTTTCACAGAACACTGAGGCATACTCCCCTCTGTCTGCAGAGAGCCTCGTCCACACGTCGGTGTAGCTCCTCCCTCGGGGCTCTGCTCAGACCTCACATCCTCAGGGAGACCGTCCCTGAGTCGACCGTCCTATATAAAGGGCTCCTCCATCACTCCCTATCCCCGCTTCATGTCTCCTTACACCCTATTAACTCCCAACGTGTTATACGTGCGTTTGATTACGACCCACCTTTCCGTACCGTTTGGTTTTTGTCCACTGAAGTATTCTTAGTGCCTAGGATACTCTTATAATGAACAGAAAAGAGACTCGGACATCGTGTTGAGAGGAAAACCAAGACTCGACAGTGCAGAGCTGACGACTCAGGCACACGGTCAAGCCTGCGGCTGCGGGGACACACCTGGTGCTTCTGCCGGCGCTTGCGCTCCTGCTCTATCTTCTGTTGCTTCTCCAGCTTCTCAGTGATGCGGGCCTCGCGCAGGGACTGCCGCTTACTGCGCTTGTAGGCCTTGGCGTTGAGGGCCGTCTCGAGGGCCGTGTCCCTCCTCATGCACACCACCACCTCCTGCCGCAGCTTCGGGAAGGAAGAGGAGAAACTGGCGACGGGCACAACTTGGTAACATCCATGCAACACGCGCACCTCCGTATCGCAAGCCAGGCAGCAAGGAGGACCCGTGAGCACAAACGCGTGCGTGGGGAGAACCCGTGGTGGATGCCCGCGGGCGGGGCACGCACAGGGTAGGAGACAGCTGCTTCCGGACATCCAGCAGACAGCCCTATGCTCAGGCCTTCAGGTCTCCAGCTTTGCCCTCCCTCAACCACAAACAAACTTCCTTATTGGTCGTTCAAAAGTAAAGGACCCTTAGAAATTAGACCCATCTAGGGACTTCCCTGGCGGTCCAGTGGCCAAGACTCTGCGCTCCCTATGCAGGGGACACGGGTTTGATCCCTGGTCGGGGAACTAAGACCCCACATGCTGCACAGCATGGCCAAATAAAATAAAATTAAAAAAAAAAAAGAAAGAAATAGACCCAGCTAAGTACACTGCTTCAAGCTAGCCACTGCCACCTTAGGGAAGGCCCACACTTATTCATCCCAATGTCCCTCCACTGGGCAGGACATGGAAAGGAAGTGAGCCAACAAGTGTGCTTGGGCACTGCGACTTTGGTTTTGTAAGATTTTTTTGATGTGGACCATTTTTAAAGTCTTTATTGAATTTGTTACAATACTGCTTCTGCTTTTTAAGTTTCCGTTTTTTGGCCGAGAGGCATGTGGGATCTTAGCTCCCTGACCAGAGATCGAACCTGCACTCCCTGCATTGTAAGGCGAAGTCTTAACCACTGGACCACTAGGGAAGTCCTGGCACAGCGGCTTTAATGGTCAGGGTACATTTAGTAACTGCCCAGTGAGCGGCTCTTTAATCTAAGCATCAAGGCTGGCAGAAAGAGTCTCCTCTGAAAGCAAAGGCCTGCGCCTGCGCCCACCTGCCTCTGGAAGTTCAGCAGCCTCAGGGCCTTGAGCTCGATGGTTGCTTTGGTTCGCAAATCCCCGGCCAGGGACCCGGGAAGGTTTTCAAGTTCCTGAATTCGGTGTGCGATGCGAGCCTGCAGCCTAGGGCGCAAAGACAAAAAAAAGACAGGTGATGAGAGGTCTCACCTGTTTACAAGGAACCCATCTGTTCCCTTTCTTTGAAGGTGGAGCCTCAGAAGTATCCATCCCTCAAGGGAAGCCGATATGAATCATAAGACAAGAGATGGCTGAGAAAAGGATGCCCCACAACACAGACTACATACAGGAGGGCAGCCACAGAAGTCTCGGGAGCCACTGCAAACCGGAAACCTGACAGGGCGCAGCTGGTTTCTGGCATTTCAGCAGTGGGAGCCAGCCTCTGGAGTCAGGCGGGCCAGGGTCTCCATCCCAGCCCTGGGAATCTACTTAGCCCATGAGCCTCAGCGTCCTCAGCTATGAAGTGGGGAGACCCCTCAGAGCAACCCTACAGGTTTGGTCTGAAGTTCAAATGGGATAATCTCCTTACTCAGTCTTTCACACACTTATTGAGCACCTATTGTGTGCCAGGGACCATTCCAGGTGAAGGGATTCAGCACTAAACAAGACTAACAAGGCTGTTTGTTGCTCTCATGGAGCTCACAGCATTATCAGGATGACAGGCCATAAAGGAGTTAAAAAATTAAGTATCTATGGTAATTCCGGAGAAGGACTTTGAGGAGGGTCCTGGAGGGGAGGGGTCGGGGGGGGGCAGGGCCTCCATAAGGTGGGGACCTTGGCAATAAAGCTTAAATAACCACAAAGAGTCATGCAGAGCATGTGCAAAGTCCCTGGGGCAGGAACAAGCCTAACCTGTTCAACAGAAAGAGGAACCGGGACAGTCAGGTAGATGAGGACAGAGCACTGGGCAGGGGCTAAAGAGAAAAGCGTTACTCAATGGATAATGGGAAACCAGTTTTAACCCAGTAAAAGATCTAATATAAATTAACTGTAAAAAGAGAATTCAAACTGCTGTGTGGGAAACACTGCACAGGGAAGGATGGGAGCAGGGAGGCCAGGGAGGAGGTGTAGACCAGATGGCAGGGTGAACAGCATTGGGGGAAGGGAGCTGAGAGAGTTCACCAGACACCGAGGATGAGGGAGTACAAGCCAGGGTCAAGGAGCCGAAGGGTCCATGGTCCATTCAGCTGCTGCATGAGAAGAGAGAGAGAAGGGAAAACTGGGGGGCATAAGGCCATCTGGACAGGCCATCTTTAAGCCGTCCAGATGGAGCAGGCGGGGAGGTGCCTGGGTACAGGGGCTGGAGCTCCAGGGCACGTCACAGCTGGAGATGCACTCCGGAGACAGTCACTGGCACAGATTTACTGATGCAGCTGGGGATTTACGGTGAACAAGGCACAGCCCCCTCCCCTAAGGGAGCTGACATTTACCAAGGGAGGCCAGCCCTGAACAGGTTATAAATGCAGTGGAGAAACAGGGGAGCACAAGGTGCTCAGGGAGTGAATCTCAGGCGCCCCCAGCAGTGTGGGACAGGGTGATACAGACCTACTGTGCACCAGGCATTTCACACAGCGCCCGGCGCTCAGGAGGCCTTGGCAAAGCGACCAACAACTACTTATGTTTGAGGAACATCCACCGCAAAGCTTGCCAGGTGGCTTTTTGAGTGCGGATGAGCCAAAAGTTGGATAATACACTTGTGTTGGAGAGGTGAAACAGCACTTTCACTCCAACACATACAATCTCCATGGAGGGCAGTTTTGCAGAACTGATGAAATTTCCACGTGCACGTAAATCCCCTGCACCTGAACTATGCCGTGTTCACAAATTTATTCTGACATAAATGCACACATGTGAATTGAGAAATATGCAAGTGTAGTTACTACGGCATCGTTTTACCGAAAGATGAGAGACCACCTAAACGTCCCTCCGGGTAAGACACTGGCTAAATAAGTCACAGTAGAGCCACCAGGCAGAATGTGTCCAGAAAAAAGAAGAGCTTATTTTGTACAAATAGGGGATGATCCCTAAGATATTTTGCTAAGGGAGGAACAGTGCACATGTCAGGTACCATTTGGGGACCACACAGCCACTTGTACCCATCTGCCTGTATACATACTCGATTTCTCTGGAAGGATACACACTGACCCAGAGAACTGGGAGGCTGGGGACAGAGGCAGGAGGGTGATCTCTGACTGCATACCTCAAAGGCCTTTAGAAGTGTGAACCACAACAACGCGTGACCTGGGGGGGGCGGGGGGGGGCGGCAGCACCCTCACCTGTACTCCCGCTCCTGCAGGATCTCCACGGGGTCCAGGCCCCGCGGCTTCTGGATGGGGGTGATGCGGCTCTGCTTCTGGTGCAGCGGCACCATGGGGGCGGGCTGGGCCGGCTGCCCTGGCGACTGTGTCTGGGGCGGCATCACGGGGGAGGCAGCAGGAGGGACGGCGGGGGGCGCAGGCGAGGGGCGACCCGTTGGCTGCGGGGGGATGAGCTTCTGAGGTGTGCTTGTGGGGGCAGCAGCATTCGCCATGGGTCCTGGGGGGAGTCAAGAAGCAGGGCACAGCGTGGCGTTCCGAGTCCATTCCAGGTGAAGATGACAAACCTGCTGGGCGTTTACCGCCCTGGGGTCTAACTCGTCCCCAAGGCTGACAAGGCCTGGGCAGCTCCCCGTAACCCCCACCTCTCACTGCCACACCACTCCTCGCCCATGGGGCTCGCTTCCTCTTCCTCCTCCAGATCTCAGCCTGCTGGCCCCTTCCCGAAAGCCCCCTACTGGTCCAAGTGCCGAGTCTGGGTGTGATCTTGCTATGCTGTGGCCTCACAGGAGCAGCAGTTGCCTGCCTTTCATCCACCCCAGCTCCAACGGAATCCTATTTAAGCGATTAGCCCTTCAATGCCCATCACTGAATCTCAGGGCCTGTGAGGATGGGGAATGAGTCCATTTTATCCACTGCTTTGACCTAACAGATGTGACCTTCAAATAAGTACTAACTACATTATACACAGAACACAGGGGAGACAGAACCCCGAGCTGCCCTGCCATCCTGCCTGCCTCTCTCTGACCGGGCTCATCTCAGGGTCTGCATGATGCAAACTTGACATGGGAGTCAGGGCACACACGTGTCACCAGAACAGAGGGAACTTACCTTCAGGCCAGGGCTTGGGAGGCCCTCCAGGGGGCTGGCCGGGCATCCCGGGGGGCACACCTGAGGGTCCTGGAGGGGGCATGTTGGGCCCTCCCATACCTGCATGCAGGGAGAAACGGACAAGAGGATAAAACGCGTCCTGTGTTTCTCCCTGCACCTGCCTCCCTGGGCAGCCCTGGCTCCAGGGGACACACCCAACAACAAGCCCCTCACTGTGGGCACCAGGGGAGAAAGGGGGCAGCTGGAGAAACAACATTTATCACGACAGCAACCCTGCTGTCGGGGAAGCTGATGGGCGGCAGAGTCCAGATCTGCCCAACACTGATGCCCACACTCCTGTCAGTTTGCTCTGAGACCCCTCCCTACCCTGAGGGCCATGGGCCTTACCGTGAGGCCTGCTGTAATTTGGAGGTGCTGGTCCAGGACCGGGGCCGGGCCCGGGCCCGGGGCCAGGTCCTGTTGCGGACACAGAGGGTGGAGGTAGTGTTGGCATCTGCTGCTGCATCCCGGGCATCGGCCGCTTCCCCTGCACCGCCATCTGCAGGTGGTCAGGGAGGGGCTGCCCCCGAGCCAGCATCTTGTAGGCCATGATCTGAGCTCTGAGCTGGTGCAGCTGGTTCTGGTTAAAGGGGGTCGGGCCCCGGTTCTGCTGCCCCAAAGCCTGGGGGTCAGCACCATCCAGCGGGGCGCCTCCAGGCCCGGACGACATCTGCGGGCCTGAGGCCGGGCCGCTGGCTGGAACCGGACTGGAGGCGTGCTCAGAGCCACCCAGGGGCGAGGGGTAACCTGCGGGGAAACGTGGATCCGAGCGGTCACTCGGCAGCACATGTCCAGTAATTTTTAAGGCAGAGACGGGAACCCTTGCCTGCTTACACTGGCCCCTACCCTGAGATTTCGTTCTCGTGATTACACGGACCCCTACCCTGAGATTTCGTTCTCGTGATTACACGGGCCTCTACCCTGAGGTTTCGTTCTCATGATTCAAACAAGAGGCACCCAGAGGGCACACGCTCGCAGCTTGGTTGGCAGCCTGCACAGCTGGTTTGGTTCGGCCCATCTTTCAGTAACCTGCCAACGATTAAAGCTGAGATGTCACACAGATCCGGGCTTTCTCTGGGCCTGCCCCCCTGCCCCTCGGCTTGGCCAGGCCCACTCCTCTCACTTCCGTTACCTGCGGAGCCCCTGAGCTTCCCACCCCGTGACAGGAAGCCATGTACCCCATCACTTCTCAAACTTCCCTGTTCAGAAAAGTACCTGTAGGGCTTGTTAAAGCTGAGCCCGGGCCCCCTCCTGAGATTCTGACTCAGCAGGTCTGGAGCAGGGCAGAGCCCAGGAGTCTGCATTTCTTCTTCTTTTTTTATTTTTCGGCTGTGCCATGCGGCTTGCGGGATCTTAGTTCCCCGACCAGGGATCGAACCCAGCGCCCCAGCAGTGGAAGCACCAAGTCCTAACCACTGGACCGTCAGGGAAATCCCAGGAGTCTGCATTGGGTGGCACCAGAGCGGCTATCCCGAGGAGCCCATCCTGCCCAGGGCTTGTCTAACACCCAGCGCTGAACACAGTTCTGTCCCACCAGTATCCGCTCTCCTGGGGCTGCTATAAGAAAAGACGCCCTGAACAGGGCACCAGACAAGCCCAAGCTAAACAGCCCTCTGTGGCAGGGTCTCCCATGAGGCTCAACTGCCCTAGGTCCTCTGAATCCATGCATGGGTGATCCAATTAGGAAAATGACCTCGGGACTTCCAGAGGGCAACAAACATGAAGAAAGAAAAGAAAGGAAACCATACCTTGGGAGTGCTGGTCCATGGGACTTGGCGGGGGCCCCATCCCGGCGTGGCCCCCCGACCGCATCCCCATCCCCTTCATCTGGTTGTAGCGGGGGTCGTCCGACATGCCCTTCTCGTGCATGGACTCCATTGGCTACGAGAGTGGACAACAGGGCAGGATCAGCAAGGCGGGAAGGGAAGAGGTTGCACAGAAAGGCGCTGAATGAGAGGACTTCAATATCACTAACAATGCCCATCCAAAGTCGCCATGGCATTTGCTGAACCACCAACATGACCAAGTGGCTTAGGTCCAAGACATGGTCCTAACATCTACTTGGGTGTCAAGGCAGGTGCATGAAATAATGCCACCCAGGGAACCTGCAGATTGGTGGTCTAGAGGCAAGGGGACAGCTGGACTAGGACATCAGGGAGAGGGTGAGGACACAGTTTCAGACAGCCAAAATCTCACAAGGAAAGGACACACATAGCTCCCGGTCAGGAGCAGTTTTAGCTGGGATACCAAGCTCCCTGTTTATCATCACAAGACGACCTTGTGACCACAAGTCTTTGGATGGGGGACCCTCTTGCCTGGGAGACTGTAAATCAGAGAGACGGGCAATAACTCCTGCCCATGAAGTATGGTAACAGTATGTCAAATGTCCTCACTGATCCGAGATTGGCCTCCCACCTGCTAGCTGGGAGGGAGGCTGTCTGCAGCATCGTTCTGCCCCTCCGCGGAGGCTCGATCAGATCCTGGTGGGACAGAAACACACATTTTCCCTCCTGATGCTCAGCACTGAGCACTCCCCCTACGGAATGGCTGGGAAAGGGGACATTTTCCGAGACCCTTCCAGGCCCTCTGTAGGCCCAGTTAATGCAAACATCCAGCTCTCCGGTCTAATAGCTGGCCCAGCAAAGTCAGCTACAGCTCAGTGTGTGCCGTGAGAGGAGGACGAGAGGGCACCGGGCCAGGAGCACGAGGGCCAGCTTCACAAGCAGAAGAAGCAGGGGGCCCTCGGGATGCTGAGCAGAACCCTGGGTGGGGCCCACCCTCTGCTCCTTCTTCCCTGGGCTGGTGGAGCTGACTGATGGGCTCGCCTCCCCCAGAGCAGGAGCTCTGTGCAGGCAGGTGAAGGGCACCACCGGACCTCAGCTCCTAGGCCAGACACATGGCAGGCGTCTGACAAACATGGGTCAAGTGTCCAGGAGGAAGAAACAAGATGGTCGAGAGGGAAAAGGAGATGGTGCTAGAGGAGAAGCTGGCCTCAGTCAGCGTGTGTGCGGAGGGTGGGGGGATGGGGGTAGATCACCAACAGCTTCCCAAGAGGGAAGTGACAAGACAGATACTGTATCGAAGTTGACAGAAATATATGGGGGATGGGGAGGGCAGGGAGGGGAAGGGGTCACTGCACTGTGTGGGAGGTCAGCGATGTGGCACATGCCTGAGGGGTTGGGAGGGCCGGAGGGGAGAGATGGCTCTGCCACCAACTCACTGAGTGACCATCTCTCTGAGACCTTACTTCCTCGTCTGCAAAATGGGCAAAATACTATCCATAAGAGGGTATTTCCTCATTTCCTTCAACCACCGCCCAGGAATGCAAAGACAGGGAGCAACCATTTGTGTTAAAAGAGGTTTTTTTTCATCTCACTGGCAAAAGCACCACTGATCAACTCAGGTACGTGGTGAAGACAATGGCACCCGAGTACAGGATCAAATGGGGACAAAGGGCACCTGCTGCTGTGCTCCGTGAGTTACCCGGGTGAGCCGAGCAGCCTGAGTGGGGGAAACCATGGGCTGTAAGCCATCTTTTAGGATTCGGACATTCTTAATTCACTACTAAAACGACGGGTGTGAGAGACACAGGGTGGGGTGGCTGCCGGCCCACAGTGGAGGCCAGGGTGTGCTGCTGCTCCCCTCCCGTCTCTGATCGTGCGGACCCAGCTGGTGGGGCAGCAGGCCCAGGGCTCCCTACCTTGTGCATCTGGTGCATGTTGTCCTGAGGGTACCCTCCAGGCCCCTGGGTCGGGATGGGGTGTCCTGCTGAGGGAGGCCCTGGGCTGGGCCCCATCATGCTGTGGGCGGAGCCGGGTGAGGGACCTGGGCTAGGGCCCAACATGGCTCCAGGGGAGGGGCCCGGGCCCGGGGAAGGGCCTGGCCGAGGAGTTCCGCCCAGGGGTGGGTCTGGAGTGGACATCTTCACGGGAGCTGCGGACAGTGGTCTCCTGCTGGAAGAAAGTCCCAGTCAGTGTGGGGGTCACAGCCATTGGCTGGGTGGGTCAGGGCAGGTCAAGGACGATCACACACAGTCATGTCAGAGCACCCATCTGACAGGGAGCTGGCGCCTTGGATGGGCACCCCCAGTGCCCCAGTCCTTTCTCCTCCATTCCTCTCCGAGGAGGTGATACATCAGGCACCCAAAATCAGATCAAAGTCCCCCGAGGAAGGGGTGGGACTCAGGAGGTGGGGACACCAGGTGATACTGCCTCACTTCCCCTGGTATCTTTCTGATTACAACAGAGAGGACGTCTCAGGGCAGTGCTGACACACCCTTCACATCACTCCAACACTTGCTCATCTTCCTATTTAAGAAAAAAGAAGAACGTGACTAAGGCTCAAAGCCTTTGCTGGCAACAGCATCTGACGGGACCTTCGTAAATTCAACTAAAACACATATTCATAGCAAGTAATGCTGGTTTCCACTTAAGGCAGTGAGACCAAGTTTCCTTTAAAATACATGAATTTAAGTTTTAAAAGTGGGCTCTTTTAAAGAGAAATATTACAGAACTAATGGCACTCTGATACGTCAAATACTTCAAAAGTGATATTCAAGTGCTGTAAACTAAAAATTGAGGCCCGGAACTATGACCCCGAGCCTCCACAAGGTCCAAAACTCAGGTAACAAAATATCCAATGACGTTGGTAAGTTATGACTGCTACGACTGGTCTGTGAGCTGATAGATTTTATAAGTGCTCCCTACAGTAAGGGTTCAGTTTTCAGGGAACCCTCAATCTGTCATGACTGACTGTAAGGAGTAATACATTCTCAGTGCTGAAAACTGGAAAACATAAAAAGAATACAGAAACTTAAAATTACCCACCGTCCTACCAGACACAGAGGTGAAGTGCTTGCTGGCCCTGCAGAGATCAAGAAGCAGCCCTGCCCTCCTTACCCCTCCCGCCCAGCAGGGTGGGGTGAGGGGGTACGTGTGGGGAGAGAGGGCTGCAGCTCCCCAGAGACCCCCCAGAGCTGTGACGATGGAGCCCTCTCAGGATGGACAGCTGACTGGTGCTCCCGCTGGGACCCGGCCACACTCCAGAGTGCTTCTCCTTCGAGGCTATTCCACACACAGACACTCGCTCTACAGAATTACTCAGCACATTCTAGGCCAGCTTTCTCTTCAGAGAATCATACCTATGACCCTTTTCATCATTTAACAGTCTTCAAGACACAAATTCTAGCAGTTCCACCAAGTTCCCTGGTCCTGATGCATCCTGAGTTATTTAAAAGCCCCTCTTTTTTTTTTTTTTAAACTGGAGTATAGATGATTTACAATGTCGTGTTACTTGCTGCTGTACAGCAAAGTGAATCAGTTGTACATATACATATACCCACTGTTTTTTAGATTTTTTTCCCATATAGGCCATTACAGAGTACTGAGTAGAGTTCCCTGTGCTCTAAAGTAGGTCCTTATTAATTATCAAAAGCCCCTCTCTTGTTGGCATGCCACAAATCTACTTTTGTTTCTGTGGACTTTTTGGTTTGGGGAATGAATCTTTTTGCCCCTAAGCTCTACTGGGCTCTCCTGATTCTAAGGCTAAATCTTGAAAAAGTACAGGAACATTTTTAATTCTCTTGATTCAAAAAAAAAAAAAAAGGTGGGGGTATATCTTCCTGGATAACAGATCAAAAGCCCGAACTTCTTCAGTCCAGTTTCATGACTAAATAACTGGAATAGAGAGGGTCAGAAATCTTGGCAGAGCCAGGACCAGCAGCTGTCACCCCTGCCTGCTGGTGAACACGCCTGACCGTATGAGAAAACACTCCTCCATCCTCCCGGCATCCCTGATCTCCTCCAAAGCTCAAGAAGCCTCAGTGCTGGACCTTAAATACACCTAACAGGAGTGCTGGAGAACTGACATGTGCTCACAATCCCTTCCACATAAATCCAAAACCCAACACGCTCAAGGAAAAAAATCAAACTTAAAAAAAAAATAAATTCGAGACAAATTCATTTGGAAGCAAAACCTGACCTGATTCAAAAAGACCTGTACTCAGAAAATTCTAAAACTCTGATGAAAGAAACTGAAGAAACACGAACAGATGGAAAGTTACACGGTGTTCATGGATTGGAAGAATCAGTGTTGTTAAAATGACCAAATTACCCAAGGCAATCTACAGATTCAGTGTAATCCCTATCAAGATACCCACGGCATTTTTTACAGAACTAGAACAAATAATTCTAAAATTTGTAGGGAAACACAAAAGACCCTGAATTACCAAAGCAATCCTGAGAAAGAAGAATAGGGCTGGAGGTATCATGCTCCCTGACTTCAGACTATACTACTAAGCCAGAGTAATCAAACGAGTATGGCACTGGCACAGAAACAGACACACAGATCAATGGAACAGAATAGAGCGCCCAGAAATAAATCCACACATTTATGGTCAATTAATCTACAACAAAGGAGACAAGAATATATGCAGAAAAGACACATGCACCCAAACGTTCATAGCAGTATTATTTACAGTAGCCAAGATATGGAAGCAACCTAAGTATCCAGCCACAGATGAATGGATAAAGATGTGGTGTGTGTGTATCTATGTATATATATATACACACATATATATATACAATAGAATATTACTCAGCCATAATAAAAGAATGAAATATTGCCATTTGCAACATGGATGGACCTGAAGGGTATAATGCTTAGTCAAATACGTCAGAGAAAGACAAATACTCTGTTGTCACTTATATATGGAATCTAAAAATAAAACAAATGAATATAACAAAACAGAAACAGACTCACAGATATAGAGAACTAATGGTGACCAGTGGGGAGACAGGAGAGGGAGGGGCAAAATGGCAGTAGAGGATGAGGAGGTACAAACTACTATGTATAAAATGAATAATCTATAAGGATATATGGTACAGCATAGGGAATACAGCCAATATTTTATAACTTTAAATGGAATATAATGTACAAAAACGTTTGAATCACATCGTACACCTGAAACTAATATAATATTGTAAATCAACTATACCTCAATTAAAAAAAAAATTTGACCTGATTCAGCTCCATGTGAATATTCACACATTCTGTCGCACAAACAGGATGCTGTTTGCCCTGCCACGTGACAGCGGTCTGTGCCCTGTATCTCGTTTGCTAAAATGCTGATTCTAGAGTTGGAAACCTCTGGTCCAGGGGTTTGTCTACAGGGTGGATGCACCAGCAGTCACACTTCCCAAGTGCGCAGCCGAGTGATATGGATGTGGCCGTGGCTGGACTGAGGACGATGGCTCCTCGGGGCTCCCTTCTGGGCCCTTTGTGTCCACAGGCCCTCTCTTCGGGTCCACAGAGCACTGCTGAGGCGGGAAGAGGGACAATAGTCCTGCACCTCCTGAAGGAACCTGTGGCATCTGGCAGCTCATGGGTTCTTTCTCACCTGGAGGTCTCCACTCGAAGTCAAGCCAACTGAAACTGACAGCAAAATAAAATCCACACCACCTCCTATCTAAAGACAGACGAACCGATGTGCCTCTGGAAAGACAGCTCTTCCCAAGGTCCCTCTAGGAATTAACTGCCTCCTCTCACAGCACCACTAACGTCATCAGCGACACAAGGCAGCTCACCAAAAACACAGGAGGGCAGCGAAAAAGACTTTCATGCCCGAGTATGGCAACCTTCGCCTTCAAGAAGCATGGGCTTTCACAAAACCCTTTTTAAATTGCATGTCCTTCAGAAGCTGCCACCTCTGAAGGGTCAGGTTGCAATGAAACAGGTAACTGCTCAGAGCCACCGTCAGCAAACTCGTTTCTGGACTTGAAAGCTCAGACACACGTGGAAACGACAGCAAAGGAGATCCAAAAAGTGCAGACACAATGCAAAACCATCCTGAGCGGCAAAGCAGGTAGGGTTCCACCAAAAGCCCCACCAGGGGCTGGTGCTTGTGCCACGTGTGGACACAGGAGGGCAGTCCTACAGCATAGCGGTGGAGAGAACAGAAAAATGGAACTGGGGAGCGGCTCTCAGGTGCTTGGTGTAGTACTGAGGAGGGGCATCTTGAGTTCTGGCATACCTAAAGTGCCCTGATCGTAGGTATACAGCTGGATGAATCCTAGATCAGACACAGCACTTCCAACATTTCAGAAGGGGCCTTTGCCGGTGAAACTCCTGTTCTGACTTTCTCACTGTAGGTTAGTTTCGCCTGTCACTGAACTCAATCTGAAAACAGGGTCAGGGACTTCCCTGGCGGTCCAGTGGTTAGGACTCTGCACTTCCTTTGCAGGGGGTGCGAGTCTGATCCCTGGTCAGAGAACTAAGATCCCACATGCCGTGCAGCATGGCCAAAAAAAAAAAAAAAAAAGGAAAAAGAAAGAAAAGAAAAGAGGGTCATATAGTTTACTTCTGCTCATCGCTAGGTCTGGGAGGGGCATCCATGCAGTTGGATGCTATTGTCAATTCTCCTGTTCCCGGATGTTGTGCTCCCAGGTTTTAGCACACATAAAGCTGCTGTGAACAATGTCATTTGGTGGACGTGGGCACTCGTTTTCCTTGTGTGTCCAGGAGGGGAACTGCTCGTCATGAGGGAGGCATAACTTTACCTTGGCAGATACTGTCAGTTTTCCAAATCAGCATGACAATCACATACACTGCCCTCCCTGCAGCAGCTGGGTGAGCGTTCCAGCTCCTCTAAATCAACTCTTGGTGCTGTCAGTCTTTTTAATTTGTAACCGTTCTGGTGAGTGTATAATCATACCTTATTCCAGTTTTAATTTGCATTTCCCTTGTGACTAATAGTGTTGCACCTTTCCATATGCTCACTGGCCACCAAGAGATCCACTTTTGTACAGGCTCTAAGCTTTCACTAACATTTTATTGGGGATATGTAGTTGCTATTACTGTCTCCCAGAGATGAAGAGAAGTTCTTAATTTTAATGATGTTCAATGTATCAAGTCTGTTCTTTTATGGTCAATGGTTTTGGGGTCCTGTTTAAGAAAT